ATTTATTTCAGTGTGAGAAGAATCCTACTTTTTTATATATATATATATAGAAAAAAGAATTTTTACACAGGTGTGAGTTTAAAATTTTTTATGTCTTTTATTTAACTTAAATTTAATTATCAATAAAATAATAAATTATAATCCGTTAAATTTAAGTTAAATGAAAAGTTTATATTGAGATTGAGTGTAAGAGTTTTTAAATTTACACTGTTGTAAGAAGATCCTGCCCCCTATATACATATATATATATATATATATATATATATATTATTTTTTTATTTATTTAAGGGATCAAATTTTTGGAATCTCATTGGCTTGTCTTGTCATATATACACAAGTGTAACATTTTTTTATGTAGATTTTAGAGCTGGTATATTATAAATGCAAAACTTTGTACTCACTCAACTTTTCCCCATAAAATTACAATACGTTGTCAAGGGTTCTTATTCTTCCTCTGTCTTGCCTTTTCCTCCATGCGATTCGTTATCTATTCTACAATTCAATTTCCCAATGTTTCTGCTTTTGTATTCAATTTTAAATAATCTAACTACACACATGCTTTATTCTTTTCCCTTGTAGTGGGAACATCATTGATTTTATTCTAATCAATCTCTATATAAGTACAATTAATTTTTTTTCTCAAATAAAAATAATTTTCAAAATTAGTTCGCTTCCAGATTATGTCATGTGTTTTTTCTTGTTTTACTAATTATTTTTTAATTTAAAATTTATCTCTTCATTTAATTTTATTTAATATAATAAAATATTTACTTTTAATAATTATAATATTTATTCTTTTTACATTTCTAAAACTTATTAATTTTTAAAATAGACATGCCTTATATTATTTAATTTAATAATATCTATGTAGTACCCCCTAAACAAATCACTAGTAGTATGATAAAGAGATTCTACAATTCTATTTCTTGTGTAACTACATACTGTTGATTAATTCAAAATATTTGGGAATGCACACAAGTATTTCTGTGGATGTGACTATATATTTCAATGGAAATTGATTAAACCTTTTCATTAATTTAAGGGGTGAATTTTGGTTGACAGATCACTGTATTGTTTATTAGAATAGAGATTTTCCTCACGATGTGTCACTCACATTCATCATTCCGAAGATTTTTAGTTTACTTATAGTGAATCTAAATATAATCATAAGAACAAGAATGGATCAGCTCAAACCAAAAAGGCCTATACATTATTAGACACGGCTTATGATTGTATTTATGAAAGGATGGAGCATCTTATTAAAGTCAAAAAGAAATAAAGCAGGGTGCCATGCTTAATTTTAAATACAATTGGTATACGTAGAAGGCAACATGTAAGAAAAGTATAGTTTTTCTCAACCCTTCTTGATCACTAAATTGTAATTCAAATTCTTCACAATTGCTTCTGCAAGCAAATTATGAAGGGAATAATCTTTAATCAGACTAAAAGAATATACTATTAGAATTAATTTTTTATGAAAAGAAGGTACATAAGCATCGAAACAAAAGAGTGAAAGAAGAAAATGAAAAAGAACAAAAAATTCTAAAGAAAGGACCAATAACTCAGTCCTCTCATTAAGCATTATCAGGGCATATTATATAATTTGGCATTGATTGTTTATCCCTCTAACAATCTTTTTTTTTTTTTTTTAATTCAGATATTGCCTTTTTTTATTTCTCCTGAAAGAAAACATTCATCTTGTGGTTTGAAAGCATGACAAGTAAAGGAAATGCCATAACCCATCTTGTGGTTTACCATACTTCGTGCTAGTCCACTATCATTATTGTAAAGCAAATCAAACTATCAACAATAAACATATAGAGATGCCCCCTCTATCCATTGTTTCAATACATGTTGGAGTACAAACAGACATAAATCTATTCATTCTCTCTTTATTTTCTTTCTTCTCCTTTTCTTTTTATTTCCGAAACAAAGCATAAAAATTACTTGCCCTTGTAGCTTCCCAACAGAAACTAAGACTGCAGTATGTGCAATAAATTATAAGTTTAAAAACACATATGGTTGGTTATGCGCAGATTATGCATTACATTTAATATATTAATTATGGCATGAATCAAGAGAATGAATGTAACAGGAGAATTTCAAAACATTCCTACCTGGTTTTTCTTAATTTATAATACTATATTAGCAGGGTTGCTTTCAAGTTACTGTTTTATTTATGTCACAAGGCCAAGAGTTTAATTTCACTCAGAAATATTATACAAATATAGGAGATTCTGCTCCCTGAAATAAGAGTGATGCTAAAGACAAGTATGAAGATTAGTAACCATTTAACATATTAGAAATTTAGTTAAGTTTGGATTTGACAAGAGATAATTGGTACAAAAGGGTATCAAATTCTTAAAAAGATATCTGCTGGTTAGGACAGTTGCTTGATGCTAATTACTTTCACAGCAGAGGAAGTTTCCTTAATCAGAAACTGTTTTAACATATGAAAGAAGAAATTCATTAAGACAAAGAGAAGATGATTACAAAGAGTTGGTAGGATAAGAGATCTTCCTTAAAATAAAGGAAAATACAAAGAACCAAGAATAGGAATATGGCTAAAGGTTCATTCATTTTCAAGCATGGCATTTTTGTGGAACAATTGGAATCTTCGGGGAATTATGTTGTTAACTTGTACTAGCAGTAACAACTTGCACACAAGAGTTTCTGATCTTTTAAAAGATGATTGGGACAAATTGGTGAAGTTACTCCAGAAGCCTTAGTAGATAGATCATGAAAACAATCAGATTTAGTAATTCCAGAATTTACGTGCCAGGTGATTAGGATAAGTGCCTTTAACGTCAAGCTAGTGTTACATCGGGATCCAGTGAAGAATTCACAGGGATCAACCTTAAAGAATTCACACAAGTCACAGTTTTCTCCACATGTTCACGACAAAGGTTTCCTTGAGCAGCAAGCTACACCAGGAAAGAGTAATATACAGCATCAATGAAACAACTTCAAGATATTGAAGTTATGACCTACATCAAAAACCAATTCAACATTCACTCTTTACATAAATATGATAAACTGTCCAGAAAACCTTAACAAATAATTATAAAACTCTAATAAATTTTGTTGTATATCTAGCTAATATATCAAGACGAATACATAGAATATCATGAAACATCAACAATGAACATGGATGGATTACGACTCACCTCTAGTCAATTTGATCATGTACCTAGCTAATATATCAAGATAAGTACCAGAGACAGGATATCATGAAACACCAAGATGAACATGTATGGATTAAGATTCACCTATAGACTCATGGTCCCAAGAGACTCAAGGTTGCAAGATTGTTTTGCATAACATGACTGAAAAGACAGCTACTTTTTCAGATATCTATATTTGTCCTGTATCAATATTTTATTGTTCGGAATTTCTTATATGATGAGTCCACAAAAAGATGCTACATTCTTAATTGCAGAAAGTTGTTGATTAATAATAATTAGCTTTTGTTGACTTCAGAAACCAACTGTTGAAATGACCTGATTAAAGGCCATATCAGTTTTCTATTTTTGTAACATTAATCATAAGGGAGAAACTAAGAGGAAGAAAAACATATAATCAAGAGAGTATCAATGTATCAGAATTCTCATAGCAGTGAGTTCTTACACCCGTCGTACTTTCTTTCTCAGCTTCAAACATTTCTCGGCTAATTCTTCAATCATAATAAAGCTGCTCGAAAAATAGCAGATGAACAATATTTCTAAAGGTGGTAAAGATACCACAAGTTATGGCTGCTAACAATTATGACAAGTCAACCTCAAAACAGATCTTGAGAATAACGTAGAATGGGGGTTAGTGATATTGATAATAGAAACAAGAGGAGGGTATATTGGTTCTTTCTAATTTAAGAATAATGCGAAAGCAATTTGACTACTCAATCTAACGCAAGTTAAGAACTTTGATCTACTTCTATAAGAAATAAAGTAAGAACAGCTTAAAAACAAAACTTATAAGAGCTTTGTAACTCTAGTAAGCTAACTTGTACCAAAAAATTCATTGAAAGTTTTCTAACTATGCAATGTAGCTGATGTAAACTCACCAAGAAGGGAAATATTCTGGAGAAGGCAGCAAGGAAAATCTAGTGTGTTTATTTAGCATCTGAAAACTATCATATTTGTCTATGCATGGAAAGCATTGTCTGGAGTAGCTGCTCACAAAATGTTCTTGGCATTCATTATAAGTCCTGCTTATTAGGAACAGAAAGTCAACAAACTGTTTTGATACTTGAGGCACTAGAGGAGGAAAATTTGCCAGCAAAAAGTGAATTGTGACAATGAGTAAGCTCGGAGATGCTTTCAAATCCTCCAAAAAGTTTGCAACAGGGTATTATGTATCTTAGGACTTTTGATTTAAAAACCACAATAAATGATCATAAATAAACTAGAAAGTAAAATGTGAGCCTTCTAAATAATTCATTCCTTATATCTGTTTTATTCATTCTTTAGTAAATGTAAATTTAACATCAACACTAGAACACACATTCTTTAAATAATTATCATCAAAATAAAACATACAAAAAAATACAATGAATTTTTAATACCAAGATAACTGAGATGATGCAAACAAAATAAGCTTGTATTTTAACTCTTCCATTTTAGTAAAAGACCACAACATATATGAAGCATAAAAAAACAAAGTTCTACTTTCCATAATTTTGCATAAATAGAATCAACTGAAAGAGATAAAGAATTTCAAATAATCATGACAGTTTCTGCAAGGTATGCTATCTGAATTCTAAAACATGAATAATGAGCATTAACTGAAAAGTTCAATGAGGCATGTCAACAACACATTGGGGTGAAAAAGGACAGTCATGTGAATTCTCAAAATAATCAACCATTGTTTGTAGCTAAAGAGTAAGTGAGCACATAATATATAGTGCATCTTCTTTTGTCGTTTAGCTAACAAAAGAAACAAATATTAGCATGTCATAATCAAAATTCAAAATAACTAGAAACTAGAAAGCATCTCACCAAGTTTTAGTCTTTCCATAGGCCTCCATCAATCATTTGACGAAGAAGTTTCTCTGCCTTATCATTCTCATCTTTATCAAAAAGAGCACAAATACTGCCATAAATCCCACCATTAGGCACCATAACCGCCATTTGACAACACCGATGGAACCATATTGTTGAATACATTGTTTCCTTCATTAACTGAGTCCATCCATTAAAGAATTATAAGTAACAACATCAGGTTTCACGGACACTTTTATCATCACAGCTAACATATTTTTAGCTTTCTTCAACTTTCCTTCCTTAATGCAACAGCCAATGTAATAAATGTATAAACATTTGGGTTGATGTCTTGTAATGCCATTTCCTTAAACAAATCAATAGCTTCTTTCAGCCGACCCACAACACAAAAGCCATAAATTAGAGACGTGTAAGTGATAACATCTGCTGAAATTCTCTTGACAACCATTTCATAATATAAATCACACGCATCAGTAAGAGTTTATCTTTGCATAAGCTATCAATGATTATGTTGTACATAATTACATCAGGATTGATTGAATGACCTTCAATTTTTCTCAGCAACTGCAAGGCAATTCTTCTTTCTCCTACTTTACACAACCCATTGATTAAAATCCCATAACTAGCTTGGTTCAACTCAAACCCTTGTGCTACCACATTATCATGAAAGTAAAGTGCTTCCTTAACTTTACCACTAATACACATACCATTCATAAGTGTATTAAATGTTCTGGTATCATGTTGATAACCCATTTTGAGAGTTTTACTCAATATGGAAAAAGCAAAGGTGATTTGATGCATTTGACAGCAACAATTGATGAGAATGTTGAAAGTAGCAAGGGTTGGCATAATTCCCACGAATCCCAATTTTTGAGAAAGGGAAATAGCAATAGGGTAGTTCTTCATCTTCACAAGGGATACTAAAATCTTGTTGAATTCAGTGATATGAAGCTTAGGACGCATCTTGAGGATGCGATTGAATGAGGCAACGGCATCATTGAGATAGTGAATGAATGTGGGTTGAGACTGAGAGTAGAACCTTGCAGGATGAAAATTAAGAAACTTGGGAATGGAAGGAGTGAGGGAGACAGAGTCAACAAACCTTAAGCCTAACATCTTCATCATTACTATATTAAATTTCACCCAATTTAAACATATACGATTTTGTTATTAAAGTTTAATATTTATTTATATTTAAAAAAATATAATACTCATTAAAATAAAATCATACAATAAAGTATTTATTAATTTTATTTTTATATAACAATTTATAAAATTAATTAATTTATAATATTTTCAAATTCGTAATTAAATTAATTAATTTTATATTTATATTCATTAAATAAATGTAAATATCTAAATTTAATATTTATTTCAACAGATATTAATATATATATATATATATATATATATATTATAAAAAATCTTGTATTTTAAAATCGATAAAAAATCTTTCTAAAATTATTTAAAAGATAAAATTAAAAAAGAAAAACAAAATTTTTATTTAGATACATATTTTAAATTAATATTTTTCAAAATTTAAAATATAAAATAATAAATTAACATAAACATAATATATTAATTATATTATTTGCTATCGTAAATATTATATAATTTTGTTAATTTAAAAATAAAAATTTACCTTCCCCTCCAAAACCCCCCAAACAACCCTTAAAATTTTCTCGCCTCGCCGCGAACAGAAGCCCTGCCATCTTCTCTTTTACACACTCTCTCTCCTCTGGTACAGTTCTACAACCACCGCGCGACACGATTGCAACCTCCTTAGTCTTTGTTTGTTTATCTCTTTTTTCTATCACTTTAATCTCCGTTTCGTGCTTTGTTACCTTTCGCCATTCACGTCACAAACAAACAGATTGTTGAAGAATACAGAACTCCAAACTCGAAAACAGTAATAATGGCTACTCGTGACGGCGGCATGAAGTCAACGTCCATTAACGGAGTCAAGATGTACACGATAGCTTCACAGCAACCTTCAGTCGCTTCATGGCTCTCTTCTAAGAAAAAGAAATCTCATCGCAACGTGAAAAGTAGTTACCTCTGATTCCTCTCTTTCTTTTCCTTCGTTCTTCTCTTCGCTCATATCTCTGTTTTTGATTTTTAGGTTACACGCAGAACTTGCAATTGCTCGAGGATTTGAGGTTCGCAACCGCCGCCACTAAGATTAAGGCAACTCCTGATGGAGAGTATATCATAGCTTCAGGTACAATTTTGATTATGATTTTGATGAAAATGTGGATAGGAACGATGATGTGTGTTAGTGAAAAATTGTGTTGATTTGATGTTGAAGGTATATATCCTTCGCAAGTGAAAGTCTATGAGGTGAGGGAGCTAGGGTTGAAGTTCGAACGCCATTTTGATTCGGAGATTGTTGATTTTCAGGTACTCAAACTAACTTTACTTCAAAAAAATATAAAGGGGAAATAAACCTTCAAATTAGTCTTTTTGTATCGCACCTCTTAATGTTGGCTTTGCAAAATGACATTCACTTTGTTCTTTTTAGTGGAAAATGACATTCACTTTATTCTTTTTAGGGGAAAACGAGAGAGTGAAAAATAGAGTAACAAAGGATTAAAATGAACCAAAGTCAGAGACTAATAAAGAGTTTTTAAAATTTTAAGAACTATAATGCCAGACTCATAATCTCGAGGATTGGCTTGGAAATTTATTCTACATTTAGTTCAGCTTATTTTGAAAAAACAATCATTTATATTTTTTAGTTTGGTTTTTGCTAAACCTGTGTAAAATTGTGCATAATAAGAATCTATGTATTGTAAATTTTTATTGAAAGTTACAAATTTAATGCATTGATATTATTAAATACTACAATTTTCAATAAAAAAATTACTATTTATTAAATTTTTAGTATATGCAATTTTGTATGGGATACGAAAAGCGTTTGTAGTTTTATTTTAAGAAAGAACTTTTGAAAAACAAGTAATTATTTCCTTGAAAACGGGTGTGCTTATATTCCAATAGTTGTGCTTAGTTTTATTTATATTTACATTAATGAATATTGTGTTTGTAAGCAGTCTTTTACAGAGGGATTAGTTTGTTGGGGTAACTACATATTTTCTTAATTTTTTTTCATTGTAATGAGTGAATGTTTTTTGATGGTGTAGGTTCTGACTGATGACTATTCAAAACTTGCATTCTTATGTGCTGATCGCTCTGTTTGTCTACATGCGAAATATGGAAAGCACTACAGTTTGCGCATACCAAGGTTTCTTCTCTAGGCTTTGTGTGTGCTGCTCTCGGAGTGTAAAATCTGATTTATGTTGAAAAATGGCTATTTATCGATCTCATTTGATAGGATGGGAAGGGATATTACTTATGACTGCTGGTCGTGTGACTTGCTTTGTGCCGCTTCATCCCCAGATCTGTACAGAATTAACTTAGAGCAGGTGTTTAGCTTATAGCTTGCTGTGATGATAATGTCATTAGTAGTGTGTATATACCGTTTCAATTTAGTTGAAATTTGGAAGAAAGGAATCCTGAAAATGGAAAGCTTCTTTTCTCTTACTTGTCAGGGGCGATTTCTCTCCTCCCTAAACACACAGTCCCCTGCATTGAATGTAGTTTCTCGAAGGTAATTACTGGAACTTAATACTGTTTTCCCTGCTTTATTTTCCTTAGAGGCTATGCACCTTGCAATTTTGTATTGAATCACTGGAACTTGAATCTTATCTGAATTTTTTAGCAAGCTTCACGGATTAGTTGCCTGTGGTGGCGAAGATGGTGCTGTAGAATGCTTTGACATGCGTGTGAGATCTTCAGTTGGTAGAATTGATGCTGTTGGACCTAGTGGTGATGTAGACCAGGTAGCATTTCTTCTCTCACAGTTGCCTATATATATATATATATATATATATTATTTTATTTTTTATGTGCTGAAGCTTTTGTTATAAGGTAAATATCATGTATCGCAATCTCATATACCTGCCCATCTATTTACTCACACAAGTTTCAAATGGGCAGGAAACATTTGTCATTTCCATTTGTCCATATCAAAACCAAAATTGAGGTTGTAGATTTCTATGTAAAATTTGTTGTGTAGTTGACATCTTTATTGTTAACCTTTCCATGTTCGTAGGAGGTCACTGCATTGGAGTTTGATGCAGATGGAGGTTTCTTAATGGCTGTTGGAAGTAGTGCAGGAAAGGTAATGATGCTACTTTATTTGCCCATGAAAGCATAATTGCTGTGTGACTAGTGTCCTTATTGCAACAGTTGTAGCAAATTTTGTAGTACTTACTTTGTCCTCTTTATGATTGAGCTGAACAATAGTCATGGCTTGTGTTATATGGGATTTTAAGGAAAGCTTGTCTTCATCTCACAATTGTAGTTTTGCATTTATGGATGTATACTATTAAGATAAGCCAGACTTATTTCTTGAGATGGGCAATGTTAATTGCTAATTCCCAAAAGTTGAAGCTGTTAAGTGGAGTTCCATGAATGGTTTTGTGACTCTGACAATGAAATCTAATATACATTGCACTCCATACAATCTTAAGTGACTAAAATAGAGATAAGGAAAAAAATTAGATAAAGGAGAATTTTGGATGTAGCAGAAAACCCCCAATGGTGAAAGTCTGTGACTTGAAGTTACCTTCTAATACCCCTTCATGCAACAGCCTATTGAGTTTCAGGAATGGGTAATGCGTAGGCCCAGTTTTACCTTGTGCTGAAGTTTGATTTAGTTAGGAGCAATGGGGGCACCAATGATCAACTGTTGACCATTTCGTCTTTTCAGACTTCAATACCATGTTAAGGACTGAGTTGTTAATTGGAGGTCCAAGAATGGTATGATATCTCTAACAGGTGGTTTATTACTAGGCCCAAAAGGCAGCTGGATTTTAAAGTAATTGAATCTACAAAGTCAGAAGATAAGCTTGAACCTTTTACATGATCCCTAGTTTTGTTAGGAAATGATTAGACCTCTTAGACAGCTGATTTAAAAAGTAAACACAAAATGGAGATAGTACAGAGGATGGACTAATTTTCCGTATTTTTTTCTAACAGCTATTTATAAGGAAAACTTTTATTTCTTTTAGCAGAAAAAATTCTAGTTGCGGAAATACATTCATATTTTCTAAACAAAATCTCCATGTGTTTTGTCCCTTTGAACATGGATATTTAATACATCTTAATATTGCATGTGCAGGTTCTCATCTATGATCTGCGTTCATCACATCCTGTACGAATACAGGATCATATGTAAGTTGACATTCTCATTCAAGAAATTTATGTTTGTATTAACATTATTATATAAAATTAACGGTTGGTTAAAAATTGTCTTACAGGTATGGCAGTTCAATATTGGATATTAAGTGGCATCGTACTCTTAACTATGAACAACCAATGTTGATTACCAGTGATAGTCATGTTGTTAGGATATGGAATCCTGAAACGGTAGGGATTTTGGCTCCTACTCACATAATTCCGATTAACAGTTTAATTATATTCTCCAAATTGATCTGTACTCCTTGGTCATGTTTGTTTTCATTCATTAAAATTCTGCATCATATTGTCGTTTTTTACTAGTTCAGTCATTATCATTTACCTAGGAGAAAGAATGATCAATAATGTTGCATGGCATGATTGATTTCAAGAACTCAATTTTGACATGTTGGAACATCTTCAACATTCTATATTTTGGATATAGTTGTTAAAAGATGTCAGACTTTTGCAAAATGTTCATGATTATATATAATCATGTTCAACTTATTACCTTCATATTGTGTTTCACTTGTTGGCTATCAGTGAAGGATTTTTGTAAATAGGATGTTTTTGCAATATCTAAACGAAATTGTACATTCATTTTATGTTTAGATGAGCTTGGTATTCCTTGTTCCTAAACATTTAAATAATAACTGCATTTATATTGTATGCTCATCAGCATTGGGTTTTGTAATAGATTGTAATTTGTTGTTCCCAGGGAGAAGGCTTGACCAGCATTGAACCGACAACAGGAACCATAAATGATGTGTGTACATTTCCTGGCAGTGGTTTGATCTTGCTGGCCTTAGATTGTAGCCAAATGCCATCTTACTTCATACCATCACTTGGACCTGCTCCCAAGTGGTGTTCTTCCCTAGAGAATTTCACTGTATGTTCTTAATATATTGATTATTAGATTTTTAGTCTAGTTATCTTTGTTTGTGACATTAGAACTATTTTTACAGGAGGAGTTAGACATGGGTGGACAAACTACTATTTATGATCATTACAAATTTTTGACAAAGGAGGAGCTTGAGAGGTTAAATTTGACCAACCTGATTGGCACCAATCTACTTAGAGCCTACATGCATGGCTTCTTTATTAATCATGCATTATACAAAAAGGTGGGTTGTCTTCAGCACAATTTCTTCTTTACATGTATCTTGAGTTATTGAAATGCTGATATCTTTTTTTTAACCCCAAAGAGCCTGATGAGGTCTAAAATGTTGACAAGGCCCAAATGGATAGAAGTTTCGCTAGATATTACTCTAGGAAAAAAGGGAAAAGATACCCTAAAGATTCAAGAGAGTTTGTAACCAACTGCTGAGTTGGCTGTGAGGTAAAGGGATCTGTTTAATACACGGAAAGACTAAGGGAGGAGAGGTAGGCTGGAATTAGGTTAGGATTTTGGGAAGAGGTTGGGAACTCTCTAACTGCCTAGGCACTTTCTTTCTTCTTTGTATACCCTTTTTGCACAACTAATTACCCAGATTTTGTATATCTCAGTTACAGACCTGCATTCCATCACAAAAGTTAGAATTCAGAAATATCCTTTCTCATCTTCTTTTTCTTAATTCTGCTTACTATCCTAACTGAATGTTTACTTTCTCAGTTTTTTCGGTGAATTTTTTTATCATGTTAATTTCGTAAACAAAAAACTATTTAATTTATTAGCTCAATGGAAAAAGACATGAGTGATTGGCATCTTATGAGTCAAAACATCTAAGAACTTGAGTAGGCTTTCATGGTGGAGATTGAAGATCCTTTTCTTGCTTTTATCATGTGCTTATTTATTGGTGTGGGCCATATTTAATTTTACAGTGTAAACTGGCTAATTTCCTTTGGAATAATGTGTTTGGCGCATGGGGTGAATGTTGGGTGCTGAAGCAGTTTCTCTTGGTTTGTCCCAGTGCTTATGGTAGAAAAAGGAGGTCGAATTGTGTCAGTGTGTCTATGGTGTATTTAGTTTGAGACATGCTCACATTTTCAATGGTGTCTCTTTGCCCTTAAATTTGAATTTTGGAAAGGGCTGTGTATGTGATTTCTATCTGATAGTTAGCTCATAGCTGTTTCGAGGGAGTTCTCTTTTCTTGTGTGCAAAAAGACTAGGTATCATTGCTTTTTTTATTTTTCTCTTCGTTTTGCATTTTACTTTGTCAGTTTTGGAGGATATCAATCCGCTGCATAGTTTTTCATTCCCTTTTTTTATCACTCTAATTTTCTTTTATTTTTTAGAATATTTTATCTTGATTGATTAAGGTAATGTTGGTAATCATCTTTATGTTGAAGTTATTTTTCTTAGATGTTGCTAGACCTAGATTCTGTTTATCATATGACGCATCAATTATTTTGTAGGCAAAAGCACTGGCAGATCCTTTTGAATATGAAGTTTATATCGAACAGCAGAAGAGAGAAAAGATGGAAGCTGAACGTGCCTCAAGAATCACAGTAAAATTGGTTCCTTCACTAATCGTTTTAGTTTTCTATTCACATTTTACATAGGCAAGGGTGATTAAATGATTTGGATTGGAATATTAATCCATTGCTATGCCTCAATCATTCTCCTTGCAGATCAGGAAAAAATTACCTAAAGTTAATCGGGCCCTTGCAGCTCGCCTTCTTGAATGTGAAGAAGCTGAAAATGAGAAGAGAGATGCTGATGATGGTGAAACTAAAAAGGCATCCAAGAAAAAGAAAGGGCTTAGCATGCAAGATCTTCAAGATGAAAGATTTAAAGCTATATTTACTAATGAGGTACTGTAATCTGAAATTTGCCAGTTGTTTTAGTCTTTTTTAATGACTTTATCCTCTCTCCTCAGCCCTTTTATTCTAACAAGTTTCAAGATACTTCTCATTCGCATAGCTGATGCATTTTAACATTATAACTTTCCACCGTCCTCAATGGGTTGAATTGAATTTAAAGCCCACACTTGTTGTGATTAATGATGTACAAAAATTATGGCATACAGATAAATCATTGTTGCAATAATTTCCGCCCCAGTGAGCATATCATTTTAAATTTCTTGTGGATGCCCATTGTAAATTTATGTACCCAAGAACTTCTGACCACAAATTTCAAATTCAACTGGAGCACAAAAATATTTGAAAGCATATGATGGGAAATATGGTGGATCCATGTAATTTGTTTGTTTTGACTTCTCTTTCTTTAAATGAGACATTTCTGTTGCTTACGATTTTACTTCTTATTCGGTTTCAGGATTTTGAGATTAAGGATTCCTCGCAAGAATATCTGGCTTTACATCCTATGGGTTCTAAGAAGCAAACATCTTTGTTAAAGGAACATTTTGAACCTGTCATGTCAGATGATGATCAAAGTCTAAGTGATTCTGATGCATCAACATCATCAAAAGATGAACCTGAGAATAGAGTGACAGAGAAAACTCGGGTTCCAAGGTGAGAATCTGTTACCAATTTCCTTGTAAGGTGTCTTTCCCTTTGTGGGAGATAAATAGGGTGATCCGTGAGGATTTGGAGCATTTTATCAAATTTTTATGACAATGCCTTTACGTTTTCCTTCTCTTTATTGGCTGCATGTTTATGAAATATGCATTCTTTATATTTGTTCCATGTCTTTTGATTCTTAATTACTGATATATTTTTACATAATGTGCAGAATGTATGAAATTAAGAATGAGCAGCATGCAGAGGCATTCTGGAGCCAAAAATCACTTGCAGGGGAGGATTCACTTCCTATGGGAGATAGAGTGGCAGCTCTCAAAGGTGATCAACAATCTTCTCGTGTTCCACGTGGTGTTAAGCAGGGTCCAGGAGGATCACGGGAAATCACTTTCACCACGAGAAGCTCAGCTAAGTATAAGGAAGACAAGGAAGATCAAGAAGTGCAACACCGGAAAAAGAGAGGAGTTCAATCCTTGGGGCTTAAGACCCACAGATCAGGTTTTCATGGTCAAGGGAGAGGTAAACGTGGGAATGGCAGAAGAGGTCGTCGATGATGACCTTTTACATACTGTAAATGGTATTCGATTCTTCTTAGATCTTTCTTGATCTTTATGGCTCAGTTTTCCATGTATGTATGGTCCCTTCCCACAGGCTGAAGGCGTGCAGGGTAGGCATGGCTGCAGGGCCACACGATCTCTGATATATCATATGTTGCTTAGCATATTAAACTGTTATCTTATTTAAATTTTTGTTCTTTCCCCCTATTTTTGGATGCAGTATCAAGATAAACTGTTTTGTTTGGATCCTACGTTTTTGGTTACAGTTTTGTTTTTCTAAAGCCTAGTAGGGGAGGAGGAGGTTGGAGTAATGAAATGTTAATCTCAAGGATTTAGCACCCGCCCTTCGGGTTCCACTGCTTCCTCCCTCATAGAAGAAAAAGGCCCATACTGCTATTGATTAATAGTTCCGACAGAAAGAAATGTTTATTGACATTGGAATATGAGTTCCTGATCATTTATGTTGTTAATGTATTCTCTTAAAGTAGTAGAGAAATGCTAAATTTTCGAATTTGTAATGAGAGCTTATTCATAAAAACGTGGATGGATTTGGTTACCAAATAGATTCGTCAATTGCTTAATTACCAATGTTAATGTTATAAGTTTGTCCAAATGTTCAAAAGCAAAATACCCAAGCGATTAATTGTATCGTCCAAGTGTATGTTTATTTTGTAGTTAAAATACAACTAAACGGACTTTTCGCCTAATGTTAAAAACCTACTCTTACATTTTTTTCTCCTCCCATATTGTGTTGTAATTTTTCAACGGGTAATCAAATACAATCGTTTAAGTACTCCATGAAGCAATGTTAATTAATAATTATGATACAAGCGTTTAAGTTTTAATTAATAATTCCGAGCTAAGCATATGTTAATGTAAGGCAGCCACTAGCGTTGAGTGTTACGTCTTATAAATTTTAACAAGTAAACTACCAGCAGCAATGTTAATTTTTTTTCTCATCCAAAATATCAAAACACGATGTAGGTACATGAACAACTAGTACTGTCTACAGTAGTCATGCTGGTGATCCTCATGTGAATCCTTTTGATTATGCGTTGCGGTGTAAACACCCTTTTTATTGTGAAATTCATACGAGATCTATTAAAAATGTGAGTTTTTTCATTTCTTATCTAATAGATTTCACTAAATTTTAATGTGTCCTAAAGAATATGATATAAAGTGTTTTACTTAACTGGACCGTTCAGTTCTTGCAAAAATGGAATTGTCTCTCTGCATAAATGTTTATATATATAATTTCAACATCATACTTCTTATGTCATGATACAAAACTGATCATGCTACAGGTGTAAGGGAGTTGAGTGAAATCAACTAATTAAAGTTTAAGTTGACTTATAATGCTTAATCTTGATTTATTTCTTTAGATATGTTAAAATGAAGACTTTACCTTAATTTATTAAAAACCTATGAAACTCTATCTTAATTTGCTCAGCTCATTTATAACTTGTCTATTTGTTTATTTATATATATTTTTTTAACTCAATTACCTATCTTTTTTGCACTGTAGTCCAATTCCATTACACGAAGACAAAAGCCACCAGTGAGGTGGAGTCTCATTCAAATCTCAACTATATATGAGAAAAGGGTAAATTTACTTTCCTATTTCATTAAGATGAAATCTTAAAGTAGCTTTTATGCTTTCCTTTTTAATCACTTCTTAGGTTTCCTCATTATCTCCCAAATACAATTGGGTGTAAAAGTAATTATTTTTGAACTTGGAATAACATGGTCATTTGCTTCTCTTTTTATTTTTTTTTTCTTTTTGTGGATTAGGACTTTGGTATTTAAAAATTGTTCCTATCACGGATACACTGATCTTCTCGATACTCCTCTGTTGTGAGATAAGGTCATATCCTTGTCAGTACTGCTAATTTTTTTTTGTCTGATGTAGGAGGAGTATACCTATAAAAGATACTCCGATGATAAAGTTAGGTGTCAATTTAGGTAATAAATGCTATTAAATATTCGAAAGTGTCAATTTAGGTAATAAATGCTATTAAATATTCGAAAGTCAATCATTTACCTGTATCTCTTACCTTCCTTTTATAAGCAGTTTTATGGGCTAATAGACTTTTTGTGGATTAGTTCTGACTTTAACCCTTCAATTAAGTAAATAATAATATGATTATTTATTCTAATTGATTTAATTATTTTTTAATTTATTCTTAATCTTACTTAGAGAATACTCGTCTTATTGATGTTAAAGGAGTATTCAAATTCCTTCTTTTATTATTAAGACCAAATGATGTCCTATCTAGTATAGAAATTAATCTAAAAGTTTAGCTAATTCATTTTGGATTGAATAAAACCATGATGAGTGACGAAACTTTTTTACTAATTTTAATATCGTGATTTTTTTTTTACAATAAAACTATAATAATTTTTAGAATATGTTTAATTCTTTGTAATTTTATTTAATATTTTTAATATCGTGTCATGTATTTTAAAAAAAATTGAAATTATAATATAATAAATTAAGACAGAGGACATTTAAATTTAAAAATAAAGACACAGATTAAAAGAAAATTCATTTTTTTCTCAAAGAAATTAAGAATAATATATATATATATTTAAAATCACACGTCATTCTTTGAAGGGTATCACAGGAATTCATCACAACCACTACTCATCCTAGCTATGTATGCTATTAGAGCATGTCTATGAAATCAAATTTATTTTTTGGTCTACGAAATCAGAGTAGTATTATTTATGCAACAAACTTTTATAACAATTTCAACACTTTTTTTTTCCTTCATCCTATTATCTATCTTATTTCACACTTCTCTCTCTTATATATACATATGATTTCTCATGAAATTATATATTACATTGTACCAAATCCCAAAAAACAAAAGATATAATATTTGTTTCTTTATATTGGATCTCCAGTCTGCTGTTTAAAACCCATTGGATCCATGGCAATTTTGTGCACTAGAGTTAACACTTCAGCTACCTCTGAGTGTATCTTCAATTAATGATTGAAAGTGTGATATAATACCAGTATAGATATGACAAACTTCAAAGTTAGAACAATCTTAGTCATTTTTTTAAATTAATGATTATATATAATTACACTTTATATATCACACTTTAATTAATAATGCAAGTATATATGTAATATTAAAATGACACACTTAATATTTAACTTAACGGATTACTATGCCCATAAAAGCATGGGAATTTAGATATGGTGCAGAGGTATTAAATTTGATATGCAACAGTATGATTAAGTTATAAAATTGTTGTACAAGTGAACATGCATTTGGCATGCAGACCAAATTTGATCCTCATAACAATACTTTAAAGAAAAATAAAAAATATCGCTTTACTTTATTATCAAATAGCTGTTAATTGAATGTATACACTAGTAGTTACAAGTTGCTTATCATGTAAAACAGAAAGTGCCAAAACATTGGAGACACTGCTTTAAGTTCAAAGAGGACGAAAGTCATGGCTAGAAAACCAGACTGTACTATATGATGATCTCATATTCTTAATTGAAACTTTTTTTGTGTTCTGCATATTGCCAAATCTCACAGCTCAATTTAATGCATCTATGAAAGTTATTTGAAGGGTGTGGTGGTAATTAGCTCCCAAGAAGAGACTCTGTGAAGGGTACATCACTTCTGTTGGAAAATAAGTGCTTGTGCTTCCAAATATGATGAAGCCTATAGGCTATAGCTATAGACTATAGTATAATAAAGATGGGTTGGGCTGTACATAATATAAAAATGTGCCACATCTATTGCAGTTAATACGGCTTAGTATCACTATATTGGTATGGTTTGTGCACACCCCATGTTAGACATTATTGCTAACCTATGATCAAATGGCATGTCTATTTTTTCTCATTTTTCCCATCATTCAAATAAAGTTGTTCTAGGTTCATACAATCAGGCTCAATCCAATAGAACCAAACTTAAGATTGTCTTGTATGCCTAAATTCATACGTAACTCGGTTTGTATCTAGTAACGTTCCTTATATTTTAGCAGTTAAAGGAGTTTACTCTTCATTATAAGTACCTCATAATTATGTATTGAGTGCTCCTTACACCACTAATAAATTTTCTAACTTATGTATTATTACTTGGTTAGAATTCATATATATTTAAAAAATAAGGTGCCTTTACTAGTGACACAATCCAAAACATTGTGGGGACCTTTTTCTTTTTTTTTTCATTTTTCATGCTAGTAGTTCAACAACTTGAAGTGATTTGATGAATAGTTATCTTTTTTCACAAAACAATTAAAAAATGTCTTTTTAAATAAAGAATAAAATAAATTATATCATATGAACCGACGATAACAAAGTCATTTTCCTATGACATAATAAAAAAATGATGAAGGAAGCCTATGGTACCTATGCAAAAGCTAGCAATGACAACCCTAAAATGGATGTCATTATCAAACTTGGGAGAAGGTTTGCATGATTGATTCATTCCCTACGTTTCAAGTCTTTTCCTCTTGTGGAGAACTATGGTCTGTCCATAACTCAATTCTGTCTTGGATTTGTTTGATATAAAATTATAATGAAGCTCTGAATTTGACACTTGTATATCTCGTAACATTTTATAGTATATAAAAGAGTACAATTATTTATTGTGAACAATAATTTACTACTAAATTGGAAGCAATAATCCACTCCTAACGTGGAAGGAGTCATACCAATTTTTATCAGTGCAATCATCTTTTGGCTCTCAAAAAATGGAAACAAGTGACCTATGCCGATTGAGGTTTTAACATTTCTTTAAGTATATTAATCACTTCATTTAATATTGACTGATTTTTTCTTGAGAATTTGCTGCTTCAAATTTTAGTATGTAACAAAATAATCTATGTAATTTCATTTTGATAACTAATTCCTCCTAGTTTTTAATGTGTCAAGTAATTTTATATGTTACATTCTTAACATTTAGCTACATTTGAGGTTTTAAATAGATTAACCACTAAAATTAAAATGATGACAAATTAGTACTTGCAAAGGGAGTAAATTATCAAAATTATTAACGTCACAACAAGTTATTTACCTAAAATTAGTTGAATGGGGTCATTTAAATTTTAAGGATATTGTTTTTTATTATTTTTTTTTTTTGGGGTGGGTGTGTAGCTTGTGGCGTGGACTTGTTTAGATAGTGAAAGAAACCCTCTAGCTACCGGCAATTTCTCTTCTGTGCATTCATTATTTTAGTTGGTTTGATTATTTGAAAATTTTCTAAATGTTAAGATGCGTTCATGATGCCCATATATTATTTCCATTCAATGAACTTGGGATTTTGGGCATAATTTTTTTTTTTATCATTATGAACGCAATGTCATGTCATTCTTAGACAAATGTAAAATAAAAATGCTTATTCTATAATAATTTTCGGCATAATGATCGCTTGAGCTAAGCCTATGTTAGCTATCATTCAAATTGGATTGTTCCTTAAAATGAATACACTTTAAGGGATAGCATGCTTATGCTTGCACATGGGCAGAGTCGAAAGGAGTGTAATGAAAATGACCAACAAATAGACACAAACGGCAAACATAAACATAGGACAATATTTTATGAGAAATTTAGTGTTTCTAAATCGCCAGATTCTTCTTCCTTGGCCCAAGGTGTGGCTGTGAGTCAAAAATCTCTGCCAAGTGAAGAAGGTTAATTGAAAATATATAGACTTTAATGTATATGCTATATTTTTTTTTATATGTATTAAAGATATCTTTAGTTATTGTTAGAGATTAATTCATTTTATGATAAACATAGAATCAAATAGATATACTTTCTACCATAATTAATATACTTAAAGAACTTAAGTATCAATTAGTTGTGTTGATCTTATAATTATATATAAGGGACAGACCTACCCTAACAACCTAAATCCGTCCTTGCTCCTCTTGCACTTATTGGTTATAGGTTTCATAATAATGGAACAAAGAGGGTCTCAATTCTAATGGCTTTAGTCAACCACTTGTCCATGTTACTAGTTTGAAAAACTCACCACTAGTGCTTTGAGTTTTTGGCATCACAAATTTGTAATTTGACATAACAATATGCATATGAAGTTGCCATTGGTTTTATACTTGCAAACAAAAGTAGGAGAGCAGAAGATTCCTTGTTTAGATAACGCCTTATGTGCGTGATTGATTGAATATACCCCTCTTTTTTTTATATATATATAAATAAATAAATAAATAAAGACGAATCTTCTTATACTATTATAAATGTAAAAATTTAATTTAAATTTTTTATTTAATTAATAGTTAATAAAATAATAAATTATATCCGTTAAGTTAGATATAAATTAAATAAAAAGTTTAGATTAAATGTAAGAGTTTTTAGACTTAAATTAGTGTGAGAAGATTATGCTCCTATATATAAATATATATTATTTTTAAAAAATATATTTTCTCACTTTTATTTAATTTTTTTCACTTTTTTATAACTAATCTTAAATTATACTTTACTTTCTTATAATTTTACACATTTTTAATTATCATTTTATAACACCTAAATTTTTATGACTCTATTCATTTGGTTTAGGGGAAGTGGAAGGAGAAAAGGAGGGTAAATTTTTTTTTTTTTTTTATCTCCTTTAGTTCAAAAATTTTAAAAAAGAAAAACAAAAGAAAAAAAGAGATTCTGATATCTCTCTCCTCTTATTTGTTTTCTCTCCAATATTAGTATTCTCTCCTATGTATTCACTAAACAAACAAGGAAACTTCCCTTCCTTTGATATTAAAGTGAAAAATATTATAACCATGGTTAAACTTAAAACCATGATCATAAAATCATTGCATACTTAAGTAAAACTAAGATGATTTAATGTTTTTCACTCGAATCAAAACCTTCATGGAGGAGTTAATGATAAAAAAAACACAAGAAATAAGTTAGAAAAATATAAAATTGTGCGGAAATAAAATGTGATTGTGTTAATCAAGTCGAATTAATATTCTATTATTGTGTGCACATGAACACATAAATTAATTAAATAAAAGTGACATTATATAAATAAAAAATGGTATGGACGTTCTTCCTTTTAAGCTAAGAGAGCTAAATAAAAAAAAATGGAAAAATTGCACAAACATATACAATCAAGTATTAGCAAACACAAAGTGACATGTATATGAGAGAGATCCCAGGTTTTTTCTGTTGTCCCTATATGGCTAGAACTTGTCCTTAACCACTAATCAATCAATTCGACTCACATGCATGCCTATAAATCCCCTTCCTTCTCCCTTGACCCATTCTCCTAATATCTGATGAAATTTCTCTCTTTTCTTCCTTTTTCTTTGTTTTGATATGCCATTTCTATACTTTGGTAGTACTATTGTAGAAAACCATTGGCAAGGATATAAAGAGTGCAAGAAGTAGGTATCTCTTTCTCACTCTGTCTCTTCTCTCTATTTTGGTTCGTTTATATAAGCCTATTTGGAAGAACTTATAAATAGCTTATGAAAGGAACTTATCACTATCATAGGTTCTTCAGTAAGGTTCTTGATATAATTTATCAAAATAAGTTGTTTTCAGCTTATTTAAGTAATTTTCATGGTTAAATTTATGGCTTAAGTCATATTTAAAAAGAGGTTATTAAATAAAAAGACTTAGTTAAGCTGTGTATCCAAACGTGTCTTATATGTTTGATGACTATGTAATATATTTTGTCCAAAGATCATGCAGGGCTTCAATCTGAAGGAAAGTGTGATCCTAAGAAAGAAATTAAGCATTGATAACTTAAAAGGAGAAAATCAGAACTCATCAGAGGCCAAAAAAGAAACTGCTAGTTTGAATCAAGCTTCTGCAAACTCAAGAAGATTTTTCTTTCATCAAACCAAAAAGTATGAGGCCATAGTGTAAAAAATTGTTCTGTGCCACTTTAAAATTTTTCTGGCTTTGTTTAATATATTATACTACCTTAAATGCAACTCTTATTTGGATATTAATTTTCACAAGGATCTTTGTTGGTTCCTGGAATATTGGAGGCATTGCACCACCCAAGAACTTGGACTTGGAAGATTGGCTTGACACGGAAAATAATTCGGCAGATATTTATGTTTTGGGGTAATCATTTTATATTACTGAAGATTAATGTGAGAGTCAGTTGCATAGACACTGAACTGTTGGATTCCTTTCATTTCAATCTATTCATTGACTAGTATTTGATGATGTTATAAATCTATTCATTAACCAGGTTCCAAGAAATTGTACCTCTAAATGCTGCAAATGTGTTAGGTCCACAGAATAGAAAAGTTTCTAGGAAATGGAATTCTCTAATTGGTGCAGCCCTTAACACTAGAATACCAACAAAGATGGTTGATGAAGATAAAATAGCTGAACCTCAGAAGATATATCCTTTGAAGGAACATATTTGTTCAGGAGGTGAACATGGACAAGATTTTCAATGCATCATAAGCAGGCAAATGGTAGGAATGTTTATTACAATTTGGGTTAGATGTGATCTCCATAAATCAATCAAGCACTTGAGTGTCTCATCAGTTGGATGTGGAATCATGGGTTGCTTGGGAAACAAGGTTTTTTTTTTACATTTATAGAGAAATAGAAATGCAACTTTTTATATTTTTGTTATATAAGTAAATCGATGTTTGAGAATACAAATGCAAGTTTTGAAATTTTAAACGATTTCTTAGATCTTTCATTGATCTTAAAATACAGGGTTCAATATCAATTAGATTTTACTTGCATGAAACAAGCTTCTGCTTTATATGTAGCCATCTAGCTTCTGGTGGAAAAGAACTAGATCGAAGACAGAGAAATGTTAATGCAGCTGATATTTTGTCCCGGACAATCTTTCCTTCTGGTCCTCTTCAAGATATGCCTCAAAAAATTATTGATCATGAGTAAGTGTATACTGAATTTTTGTGTATATAAGAAACTATCACTTACGTTGAAGGCATAAGTCATTAACTAGAACTAGAAGGCTTTTTTTTTTCTTGATGACAAAGATATACTAAAATTATATATATGTAACTATTCCAATTCCTCAAACTTAAACTTCGATTGGAGAACATCTTATGGTGTGTCTTGATTCATGTTTGAAAGATTATGAATCCATGTTTACTTCAATATTACTAGTTGTAGCTTCTGCACTGAATCTATGTTTACAAGTTTTTTAACGTGTTTCCAAACACAATTAATTTTGGATCTGTAATCCATTACTCTAGCATCCAATCACTAGTGAAAGAAAAATCTATTAACAAACTGAATCCCTCCTGTTTGTTGGATTTAAAATAATGATTTCAAAGTATCTTCTGTAAAAACAAATCCTTAATAAAGCTGAGATTTTGTGTGATTGAGACTTGTATGCTATAATCACCTTTATATAAGTTGAGCTCATTCCATATAACTTCATCTAATATTGTGTACCTGGTCCGGTGCAGCCGAGTAGTATGGCTAGGTGACTTGAACTACAGGATATATATGCCAGACTCTACAACACAATCATTGATCAAGAGAAGAGAGTGGGAAACCTTGTTGAAACATGATCAGGTAAGGCTTATCAAGTTACTTCTTGGATGACAAATTTTTTGATTAATTAGTACCATAATTATTAGTTTCAAGATATGTAATTGGTTTAAGGCAAATCATGTTACTTCTTGCAATGCAACATTTTGGATTAATTAGTTACCATATGGTATTATGAGTTCAAAATTTAAAATTCCATGCAAATTATATAGCTGAAGATGGAGCTCATGGAAGGCCATGTATTCCAAGGTTGGCGTGAAGGAACTATTGAGTTTCCACCTACATACAAGTATCGCCCAAATTCTAAAGATTACTTAGGCTGTGATCAGCAGCAACCCATGAGCAAAAAGAGGCGTGCCCCAGCATGGTAAGCTTACATCAAAGGATTTAGATCATTCTCATTTCCTTAAGAACATGATAAGGGGATCTGCTATTACTTGTTCAAGAGTCCACCAATTTTTCTCTCCTAGTGTGAAATAACACTAACAATAAGGATGAGTCTTGATACAACCTACCTAAGTTATTGCCTTGTGATTAGAGGTGTCAAAATAAGTTGACATGATTAAGCCTGCTTTGAATTTTAGGCCTAAATTAATTCTAAGTATTTTTTAGCCATCTCATCCACTTTTTTAAATTATAAAATGTGAATTCAAATTAAGTTTGAGACTGAATTTTGTGAGCCAAATAAAAAGTGAAAATTTTTTGGTCCAACTTGATGAAGCCTAAAACTTGATCCGAGTTAGCTCGCATTGGATTGAATAACCCGTTTTGCTAACTTGTAACTTGAAAAGAAAAAAGGCTACATAGTACATGCATGAATCCTTCCAAGATCACACTTGGTAGGAGTCTCGTGCATTGAGTCACCCTTTTTAACATGGCATGATGCCAATGTTCTTTTAAGGAAACGATGATCAAATTCCCACTTCAAGTGCTTCCATATGAACCATTAGGAGGCAGGGAAACTCTAACCACAAGAGGGTATTGCAGGTGTGATCGAATAATATGGTTTGGGAAGGGAATGAAGCAAACACAATACAACAGGAGTGAGTCAAAGCTTTCAGATCATAGGCCTGTTCGAGCAATTTTCACAGCTGACATCAAGGTGCCAAGAAATAAATTATAGATGATTTCAAAACATTACAAAAGCATTTCGTTCAAGAGATTTCAGTTCTCATGCCAACATTCTCCAAAATGAGGTTTTAGGTTCACAGGAAGACATGCAAATAGTAGCTGAATTGAATTCTTTGTGAAACTGACTATTTGCCAATCGGGATTAGCATTTGTAGTTTATTTTTTTCCACTTCCTTTTATATTAGAAAATACATAGGAAGCGGAGAAAAAGCTGTACTATACCGCCCCAGTTTAGGTGGTGAAGTTCTTGTAAAAGAAAAAATTAGTATAAAATTTAAATAAAATTTTTCTGAAAGTTTTATTATTTAACTTCTCTAAAATTTAAAAAATAAGTTATTTTTAACTTATTAAAAAATTATATTTATTTATGATAAATTGAGTGAGGAGCATTACCCTCAAATAGTAAGCTGGTGGTGCAAGGCAAAGAAATTTGGCATGCTAGTATTTTGATCTCAAATATAAGAAACTATTGTATCAGGACTTCAAATTCAATATTTCTATGTTATGTTATGATTAAATATCATTATAAATTTATATTTAGAATTAAGTATACTACCGCATTTGGATAATGTTTCACATATCATCTGAAATAGGAGAGCACCTTAGCTATTGGGCTGCATATACTTTTGAGCAATTTCATCTTGTGGAATATATTATTCTTGCCACAAGCCCAAAAAGCAAGTATATGAAAGTGTATTTAGGAAAATTTACGTATTTCTTACGAATATAGTTTATAATTTTCATAAATAATTTTTTAATAAATTGTATATTTAAATTTATGTCATACATCATATAAATTATTAAATTTAGACTTAATTAACTTGCGTATCTAAATTTACCATTGATTAGACTCCCGTACTAATGTCATTTGGGTCATATATGTACGAAAGTCATATTTCTTTTTTTTTTTAATAAATAATAATATATGTACGTAGGTGTAGATAATGTGTATCATACCTACTAGAACGGGTACGACTTATAAAATGGAAAACTTGTGCTTCAGAGATTTTGAAAGTAATGCCAAATCATAAAAAACATAAAACTTAGGGCGAGCTTACGAAAACTTGATTATTCATTATTTTTTATTCCTTAAGCACCTTTTATTTATATAAAAACTGAACTTGTTCAAAATCATTTCAAAATCAAGGGCAAGATAGAATAACTTAGGCTGAAACCCCAATTATTGTGTTGGTCTAAAGTCAACGTATACAGTGTTAAGAAATCTGTCACTAAATTAGAAACACATTGGGACAAAATAACAATCAAACTTGGAAAATAAGGAAGAATACAAATACCCCTTTCAACAAAGTCATTGCAAGACTGATAATTGAAGCCCTCCTTCGTGCATTTGTAAGGATTATTAGTATTCCTTCAAAGCAAATGTCCCTCCCAAGCCACAAGTAATTTGCTTGGTAATATCACGAACAAAACTTATTTATTGATTTAAAATTAAATTAATTTTACTATTAATATATTAAGATTTATTCTAGCAAGTCTTTAGAACATTAAACTATCACATAATAAGAGAAAATATTTACTTTAATGTGTTCCCTTTCACTCACGTCAAAATCTCACTTTTACTATTCTCACTTCTTAGCTTTACCATCCTCACTTCTCATCATAAGAAAAACAACATAATTTTAGAGGCAGTTCAGTTTTGGGAAATGTTTTCTATTTTCATTATGTTTCCAAAATTTCATATATTTGTACAATAAAACACTAAAAACAACTCTCTTTTTTGTTTTCACTATTTCCTGGTTAAATATTAGAATACAAGAAACAGAATGAAAACAAGATAGTAATTTTGTAATTAAAAATGAAAACAATAAATAAAAGCAGAAAACATTTTCAAAAAGCGCTTAATTTCTTCATCAGATTTTGTTTATTGTTCCCCCCGTGGTCTCTTGTCTACTTGTATTAGTGTACTTCATTTTCTTGTATTGATTTGGAGCCTTGAATTGCTGAGCTACATTTTAAACCCATTTTTACTACTACATTTTTTGGGCTGTATTTTTTAATCGAGCTTCATGGTAACTGTTGACTTTTAAATACAACTCAATATCCTTAAACTTCTTATAATGATCTTTTATACAAATTAATATCAAGTGCAATCAATAGAGAATGATGTGGTGATTAATTTTACTTTTCTTTTTGAGTCATATAACTGCCAAAATCTTGTCTTTGTCCCTGTGAATCTTTAAAGAGGCTTTACGATTTTAGAAAGGGATTCATGTGGTGCCTCATTCATGTCATGTGCACCATTTGGCTTTGTGTACCACTACAATTCTTGTTAGCACACGTGGTGCCTCAAGCTTTAAATGATAAATATTTGTGTTCCACCAACCTTGTATTCATAATTAACATTTGGGCACAGAAGAAGAGTTAGGCTCACTTTATGTTGGGCAGATGGCGTCTACAACGTGACAAGAAACTTCTTTTACAAGAACAGTAGAAGAAAGAAAAAACAAAAGAGATTCCAACATAAGGGAAAGGAATGTAATAGAAACAAGGGCACTCAATTAGTGCAATAAAGAAGTCTACAAAATGAAACTAATTACTTGAACCGTCTTTGTCCAACTCTATCCTGCAAACACAAAGGCCGTATCAAGAAAAAATGATGGGGGAATTTCTCCAAGTTAAAATTTCATTTACATTATCTTTAATTCACTCTAGAACCAATTGAAAAATATGTTACCATGCGTTTAAAAGAGTTTATAGAAAATTTATAGAAATAACTTATAAGTTTTTTATTATTTATTTCAATAAGAATCTTCATATAACTTATCAAAATAAACTATTTTTAACTAATGTCAATAAATTTCATGGTTAAATTTATGGTATAAACAACTTATACGATAACATATTGAATAAACGTTTAATTACGTTGTTACCTAAATGCACCCCTAGCGGCTGAAATACTGAATACATGTCCACACCAGTAACATGCTGATTTTTTTACTGAACATACAAGCTAACGAGGTTAATGCTTGTGTTTGAACAAAGCAAAGAACAGAAAATAGCAAAGGAAAAAGGGACTGATGGAGAACAAGTCTCGAATCTTCTTTCTTCTACAAAGAAAAAACAGCATGCTAAGTATTGAAATGTTTACAGATTACCTTTTTTACAAGAAATGATTGGTACTATGGTACATCACCAGCTAAATGGAGCACAGATTCACGGATCATATGCAATCAAAAGCTTTTGTTTTCTGTTACCTACAAAATAGTTGTAATGTAACAATCAGAGAAGTTCAACTAATGTAGGCAACCCCCCAAGCATGGGTGGAAAAAAAAAATGAAACTTCTTTCATTTAGCAATCAGCATCACATTGGCACACATATAACTAGAGATCGAATAAAAATATGTAAAAAAAGCATAGTATTTTTTGAATGAAGGAAACTGTAAAAAATGTAAAATCTGCTCATAAGGAGAGATGTTTTATTAAGTTTAGGGGGAGTGTTTCAGAAAACCAATCGAACAGCGTTCTCGGTTGGTGCTTTACCTCCAAAATAGTTTTAGCTTCATCGCTAATCGTCTTACAAAGAATCTCATAACTCGTCTCCATCTGCAAAAGGAAGAAATAACAGCAGAACTTTCTTCCAGTAGTAACTGGAAAAAGAAAGAAATAAAAATTTATATACCATTGGGTTTACTTTTGAAGGTGACATCGCTGATATTGTATATCTGCAAGAGAAAAATTCCATCATTCAGCAAAACAAAAACCAAACAAAAATAGGAGGCAAAAGGTAGTCTAATAGCAAAATATAAAAAAGTAGTTAGAATGTTATATAGCTTGATAACATGGGATAAAATCATATAATGTCATCCATAAGAAATTTCTAGAAAGTATGAAATAGAAACAGTTGTATGACTGGCAAAGATCTGCAACTTTTCATTCAGAGATATAGAGAGAACTGTAATGATCATAATGTTCTTACTTTTATGTTTAATCTCCATAGACAACAAATAAGATTATCATCACAATTGACATGTCCAGGATTTGGGCTAATGTGATTGCATAAGCAAACATCCCCTCACATAATCTGCCATCCAGAACACATTTATATGTGGATTTTGCATGAGTTTGAATAAATGACTCACCCTCTCCCTAACATATATGAGGTTCAGGCTCCAACCTCAATTTTTTCAAGACATGTTCATGCATTATCTGTTACACCTCAAGATTTGTTGACAAATTTTCTCCATCCAAACCCACTGCATCAGAAAGCCAATTTGCAACAAGACTAGGAAATAGGACTATCAATGTCATGTTTTCCATCTGGTATGCTTGATCAAAAGCAGACAAAAATACATTTACCGTGGAATGTCTTCAGGTTTGCATACAATTAGTATGGATAACAGAACAGGAGCAATTGGAGATAGGAAATCTATTCTTCCCTTTCATTCTCAACTAACTTGACATGTTTATCTTTATAAAGGAAAATAATTCAATGATGATATAGATAAGTGAAAATTTTACCTCAGTTTATTTATATAGAAATCCATAGCTAATACATTTGCCTTTTGAACAGTCAGCATGACAGCACCCATGCAGTTCTACAAGAGATATTAAAACAAAGAAAAGAATAGATCAGAGGGGCATAAAAAAATGGCCCATAAAACTCGTACATTAGTGAAGAAATATGTCCAGATAACCTAATGAGATGCATAAAACATTTTGCATTGGAAATTATGAATGCTATAAATTAATCAATAAATAAACTTTGTTTGTTCAAATATCATAAATTCCTAATTTTCAACAATCCATCATCTTTTTCCATGCTTAAAAACTGTCCATTGCAACATAGGGCCACGTCTCTATTATCATCAATGTCTGAGTAAGATGTTAAAAACACTTTAGCATTACCTTTTGGACCATAAGCTCAAGAAGTTGCATTAAAAACTTCCCCACTCCTTTCCCTTGTACACGAGGCTCAAGCTGTAATTCATACACATAAAGCACTGGTATCTCTTCTTCCAAAATAAAGCGATACTGTACAAATCCAACCAAGGGGCCACTATCTTCCAGACAACAAGTTGAAGTCTCTTCTGCAATCACCATCTTTGTCATCTCATCAAAATTTGAATGGGCAACCTCGTGCACAAATATATAGTGTGCTTCAGGAGCAATCATTTCTCTGCGCTTCACCTTTTCTTCCTCTGGCCACTCAGATCCATATGGTCCTTCCATGTTTAGCTGCAGTTTTGACATAGACAAGTCAAGCACATTCATTTCAACGAATAACAAACGAAAACTAACCATGAATAGAAAAAAAAGATAGATTTTCCTTTATATTATAGAACAAACACACAGTCACACACACACATTTCAGTCAACTAATTCTAGTATTCTTTCTACCTTAAGGAGACTTTGAACATAATGCTTAACAGATGAGGAAAGTTTACTCCCATGTCCTGACTTCAAACACATAGAGAGACCTAGAAATCATGTTAAAAATAAGTACTTAGAAGCAAACAAAAAACAAATCAAAACCAAAAAATCAATATTATCACATTCCTATGTTGAGAAATTTAGGACTAACACCTATTTGCTATTTCATTGACTCTTGTTCTTGCAATTAGGGCCTGTTTGGAAGAGCTTATGAACTACTTATGAATCAGCTTATTTCCATAAGCTTCTTGGTACAGCTTACTAAAATAAGTTATTTTATCCTAAAAGGTGTCATCAATAACTTAATGGTATAAGTCATTGTTTAAAAAGAGTTTATTGAATAAGTGCTTAAATAAGCTGTGTATTCAACCACACCCTTAGTGCATTTGGTCTAATCAATTAGTGCACATTTGATTAAGCTTAAATTTTAGGAAAAAATAAGTATAAGAGCATCAAACAAGCACTTAAATAACTTAAAAGATTAGTTAAGTTAGTAAAACAAGCATCAAACTAATGTACACAACTTTTACGTAACTAGCTGTTGAATGAACAAACTAACCTAACTGATCTATCAATCCAAAATGGTTACCGTTTTTGTGAAAATCGCGAAATGTGGGAAAAGAAGCAAGGTGATCCTTCTCAGCATGTGCCTCTTTGATGAGTTCTTCAACGGCTTTCTTCTTGGCGAGTACCTACAAAATGGAACCAAGTAAACATGGCTTCGTTCACACTCATAAACTCCTCACAAAGCACAAAGCAGGTCAGGTCAGAGATGAAACGACGCACCTCACTGCGTTTCGACCTCTTCTCTCTGATAGGGCCGTTGTTGTGGCTGTCAAGGCTCGAACGGCGTCGTTGTAAAGTCTCGGATTCCATAGCCGGTGAGTGCAAGAACAGGGGCGGGTTCTACGAAGTCACTTAATTTTAGTGAAACCACAGTTTAGGGAAAATAAAAAAAATATACAATAATTAGCAAATTATTAAATTATAAACATTCCAAATATAAAAAGCGTTTTAAGTAATAAAAAATAGGGACTATAAAAAAATTATCATAAAACAAGTTAAATGAAGAATGACAAAGAAAAATATATTTTAAAGAAATATGTTAATTCTAATCTTTTATATTATAGATAAATAATTAAAAGTAATACACTCTTAAAAAAAATATTTTTTTGATTTTTAATGTGTATTTTAAGATACATATTAAAAAATAAAATTTTTTTTTTAACAATACAGCTAAGATCACTGTGAGTACAGTAAAGCTTTCAAGTATTTATTATTTTAAAATGATAAAAATATTCAATGTATATTGTTTATAATAAATTTAAATATTTAATAGAGTAATATATATATATATTAACGTACAATAAAAGAAACGTCCTATTTATTATTTTAAGAATATAGAAATATAATAAATATTATATTTTATAATTAAAAAAATATTATTTATAAACGTTTAAAGTTAACGGAGATTCACAATTTTAAAATAAATATGGAAAACGTACAAGAATTGTTATTAGCAGGTAAGAATTAAGGGTTGACTCACTTATGGATTAGCTAAAAGAATAGACGTTAAGCGTATATTAATTAAACTAAATTTAGCTGGAGTTTAAATTTTTTTTTCTCTTTACTAATGATAATAATAATAATAATAATAATAATAATAATAATAAATCAGAAATGATTAAATTTTAAAAGGTTGATTGACGATTAAAAAAATTTAATTACGGGGAATGACGAGAGCATTTGAAAAATGGAATTTGGATAAAGGAAGAGTTTAAATTAATTAATTAATTTAATTTTCCTTGCTGGAAGAAGCCAACTATCAACTCCCCCGCTTTCCTTCTCTTGTGTATATAATAAGCTACACACCACCACCAAACCAACAAGGCAACAACAAAAACTCTTCTTCCTTCTCACTCTCTCTTTCTCTCTCTTTTCTTACCACTGTTTCATGCAAAACCATTTCTAGGGTTTTCAGTTTTCGCCATTCGCTCTTTCAATTCTCGTGCTCCAACACCTCCTCGCCATGGCATTTCCGACTAAGAAGCTCATCAACGACCCCAATGGTGCGTCTCTCATTTCCTTCTCCTCAATCTCTATTTCTCTATGTTCCGTTCAATTTCTCGGTGAAATTCACCTGCAATCTTAGTCTCCTTTGACTCTCACCGTCACAATTGCTGTGCTCTGTATGTTTTCGCCGTCGTTCCATTAGGAATCGCTTCTTTTTTTTAAACTGTTTTGCTTCTGTGCATTTTGTTGACTTTTTTTTGGTTTTTGTAAAATCTGTTTGAACCTGAACTGTTTTAGCATTCGTCTTTGACTGAATCGTACTGAGGTTTTAATGACGGAAATCGCTGCTTGAGTTCGTAATATTCGATTGAAACGTTGTAGAATTGTTTATTATGATATTTTGTTGATCTAACGTGTCTACTTTGAAGATTACGATTCAATGTGACAGTGAGATTTCGATTCCGAAGTTTTTTGTTTTGGTATTTCCTTGCTAGCACGGCAGTGAAGATTTTGTTCCTTTTTTGGTTTTTAGGAGTTTATGTTATATAATTACTAATTAAACATTATATTTTTTATTTTTCTGAGCTTTTGTATTCTAATTACAAATTAGACATTACATACATGTGTGTGATAATAATAATAATAATAATAGTAATAGTAATAACTTTTTCTTTAATTTGATTGCAGATGTTGTGACGGAATACATTGAAGGTCTTGTGGAGACGTATCCTGGACTACAGTATTTAGATGGATTTCCTCTGGTATGTTTTGATTACACATACAGATGGATGCATTGATGTGTGATATGTATAGGAATTCCTGAAGGATGTTTTTTTTTTTTTTTTGCTGTTTCCTTGCTTGAATGTAGGTGAAGGTTGTGTTACGTGCTGATGTCTCATGTGCAACATATGACAAAGTTGCAGTGATATCAGGTGTGCGACCATCCATTGGATATGTTAAATTGCTTTTTAGTTCATTTTTGAGGGGTTGTGTCATTAGTCCGATCAAAACATGTAGATTTGTTAGCCAAATAAGAGGGAAAAAAAAAGGTTTCCAGAATGAAGAATAGGATATAGGACTGGCCAGGTGCAAATATGCTATTTCACTCTATGAAATATATCTAAAATGAAACTTCTTAGGATGATTTTACAACTTCATTTGTTCAATATGATTACTTAGGTTTAATTGAGAAAATTGTTGTGCACATCCATATTTTATGTTACAGGGGGAGGAAGTGGTCATGAGCCTGCACATGCTGGATTTGTGGGAGAAGGAATGCTGACAGCAGCCATATGTGGAGATATCTTTGCCTCTCCACCTGTTGATTCAATTCTAGCTGTATGCTTACTTCATATTATTGGAAGTGATATGTATATCATGCTTTCAGTTATAAGCATACTGCTCTCTTTTATACTTCTGATGCTCATATTATGGTTTGATATTTAGGGGATACGAGCTGTAACTGGTCCTGAGGGATGTCTCCTAATTGTAAAGGTATTTTTGTTTTGTTTTTCTTGTGTGATACTTTAGCATTTTGCCATCCTAACTACATGCTTTTGTATTGGTCTTTCACATAAGTATGTATATTACATGTCCTATACATTGAAATTGTTATTAAGGCAATAAATGGTGAAAAGAATTACAATATTTTTTTAATTTTTATTATAAGAAACTTGACATCCTGTGAAATCAAATTTGAGCTGTGAATAACATAGTGTGCTTTTTGCACTAGTATGGTCAGTTCATGATGAGTCATTAGGATTTGCTTTTGTTTCTGGATTCATAGTGTTCGAATTTGGGTGTTGATAGAACTATACTGGTGATCGTTTGAACTTCGGTTTGGCTGCTGAGCAAGCAAAATCTGAGGGTTATAAAGTAGAGGTATGTCTTGCTAGCTAGTGTTTTTCCTTGTACTTAAAATAATTAAAATATTTAATATGTAGATAAACTGAGTTGTATTTTTCCTATGTAGACTGTTATTGTTGGGGATGATTGTGCACTACCTCCACCTCGAGGGATTGCTGGAAGAAGAGGATTAGCAGGGACTGTTCTGGTTCACAAGGTTCACTTCTTTTCTTTTTGCATTATGTTTGTTCCAACTGTATAGTTCCTAGTTGTTATTTATTTACACATTTAATGAATAATGATATTTTTGTTTTGAGCCAGGTTGCGGGAGCTGCTGCTGCTGGTGGTCTTTCTCTCGCTGATGTTGCTGCAGAAGCTAAACATGCATCTGAAATGGTGGGGACAATGGGTGTTGCTTTGACTGTTTGCACACTTCCTGGTCAGGTTACATCAGATCGATTGGGACCAGGAAAGATGGAGCTGGGTCTTGGAATTGTAAGTTTTCTTTATGTTCAAAATAAAACTCTTCGCTACTGTGCAGATATGTCTGTTTTATAATGTGAAAAATTAGCCCTTGCTATTTTCTTGTGGTTTTCAGCTCATGGCACTGGAGATAGTGTCACTTAATTTTCCTTAAAATACTACTCTGTAATTATTTGATTTTCTCCCTAAATATTGCAGTCTGTCTTTATTGCTTTCATTCAAATTCAAAATTATGTTGATTACAATGCTACTTTTTTACAGCATGGAGAACCTGGTGCAGCAGTGGCCGATCTTCAGCCTGTAGATGTGCTGGTTTCTCATGTTCTGCAGCAAATATTGTCCACAGTATGATATAATATTGAATGGAAAGCTCTTGATGGGGATATGCTGGTTAATTAGGAACAAATTGTTCTTCTAACATGAACTTTGATTTATTTTTGGTGAATGAACTTTGATAATTAGCCTTTAGCTTTACTAGCGTCACTCTGTTTGTGATTTTCAAAGAGATTGCAGAGTTTGAGCCATTAAGTTCTTTTTCTTCCACTCTGAATTTCATATGGAAGATGCCCTATTCTATTTTTCTGATATTCCATTTCAATAAACTATATCTACTAACACTGGCGTCTAATTTTTAGAGCAAAATTTGTTTACAACTTTATATATATTGAGTCACTAAAGGGACCAAACCATGCTTTGCTAAATTATGTTAGTATAGATTAGTATAAATGAGAGAACAGGAAAATACACTAATTATAAGTTTTCTCGGAATTAAGTCAACAAGAAACGATGACCAATTAAAAGTGGAAAACATGTTCAGATGATAGCCCTCCAACCCTACTAATATTGTACAAACAAATCCCATGAAAGGGCTATTCTCTAATCAGCATAAAGATGTCAAATGTGTAAAAGTTAAAATTTTACTGCTGTATCTGCTCACAAAGGACTCTGGGATCGGGGGAATAATGTGCATAGTTTGATCTCAAAATTGCATCAATTTATTCATTTACTATTGATTCAAGGTGAATGAGTCTCAATTTTTGTTTGTAATGTTTGCAGGAAACAAACTATGTTCCAATAACTCGAGGCGAAAGAGTGGTCCTAATGGTCAATGGGTAGGTTCACAAATATTATCTTTGCTTGAGAACTAAATTTAATTTTTACAATTTTTAGTCTAAGTTTAGCTGATGTTGAGGCAGGAACACCATTTTACAAACATATTCGCATAAAGTATATGTCTGCATGTCTGAGTTGCACACTGTTTCATAGATCTTCTCATTATAGAGTATTGAAAAAGAAGATAACATCTTCTGTCTACACCTAGAGGTTTCATTAAAAAATGTCTAATCTAATGTATTTCCACAATATTGAAAATATTTTGCCTTTTATTTAGGAGGCATTAATAATTCATCAAAATTTTCTTTTTTACTTTGCTCACTCTTTGAGGGCTTTTGACATCCCTTCTTCAGTCTTCTCTTCTCAGTCTTCTGTATCTGTAAATTCTTATGATATATTGTTTTAAAAAGCCATATTTTTATTCTGGCATACATATTGCATTTAAAATAGATTTTTAGATATTCGTACTCCTAACTCAGTGAACCCCATAATTCAAATTTGCAAATATTACATATGAAAATCTTTTCAATTATTTTAGTGATGTTTTAAGCAGAAATTTTCCTTTAGGGATAAGGTTTATTTACTATATAAATGATTATTCATATGCAGGTTAGGTGGCACTCCTATAATGGAACTAATGATTGCAGCTGGAAAAGCAGTTCCAAAATTACAGCTAGAGCATGGACTGGCTGTTGATAGAGTTTATACAGGGTCATTTATGACTTCTCTTGATATGGCAGGTTTGTTGCCTAGAGAATGGCAATCAGCTTTTCTTTGTGATTCATCATGCAGTTCTGATTAGCAACTTTCATTTTCTTTTAGGTTTCTCAATTTCTATCATGAAGGCTGATCCATTAGTACTTCAACGATTAGACGCTGTGACTAAAGCTCCTTATTGGCCTGTTGCAGCTGATGGTTGGTAATTTGCTCCTGTTGTTTTAATTAATCAATTTTATTACATGGAAATTTTTCAATTTTATCTGTATTGTTTTAGTATGAAGCTTTTACCTCTAAAATTTTCATTCAACTGTAATGTTGATTGAAACAAGTGAATTAATTACTCATTTATTGAACTTTTGAAGTTGTTCTTTCTTTAAAGGTAATCACCCACCAGCTAAGATTCCTGTTCCAATTCCACCATCTCGATCAACAAAGAGTGATGAGGTATATCCATGGAAATTAGAGAAATCTTTCTTTTAACATCTCATGGGGACATGTAAAGGTGTCTACGTTGTGTTTCTAAGTGTGTTATTGGGATGTGTGTATACCAAAAAGATATAAATAAGTGAAAGGTTGAACTAATTATATACAATGTCACATACAATATAAATTTTTAGTGGTTTAAATAACATGGCTGTGGAAATTATGTCATTTCCCTTGAAACCTAACAATTATTTTATGAACTAGTTAATGACAAATATTAATAACAACCCTATGGAAATGATCGGGTGAATTCTTAATCAAATTAAGCAGGCATTATCTAGTAGTTTTTTCCGTTTTAGCTGTTGAAATTTGACTGGCATTTTTTTGTTTTATATTTGATACTAGTTTTTTTGGTTCACTGGGTTAGCTACACCTAGTCGATCTGTTAATTTGATTGTTATTTCATTAGAAATTTAATACAAACCTGTCAATGCTTCTAAGGATAAGCATAATGAAAATTTTATACAAACCTTGAAATTTTATACATAATAGGAGATTCTGGCTCATAAACTTGGAAGAAATAAAAGGATAAGCATATTTCATGTGTACCAGTTCACTAATTATGTCTACCAAGTTTAGTTTTTCAGTTACTTTTAGCTTTACTTGGTCCATAGAAAACATTGTTCACAACAAATTTCTCTTTTCTAAATTTTATTTATTATTGATGCAGCAGTTCATCTATTTAAATCCCTTCCCATTCTACCATAAACTGGCCACTGGGTTCTCTTTTGTAGCTCTCTTTGGAGTCATGCTGCATCTTCCTCCAAATTATGTTTTTTTCATCTCCCATGTTCATACTATATATGAGTCTGCAATCAGTCCTGTATTTAGTGTGAAACTAATCTCATTAAGATTATCCATCTTGTATTAAGGTTAATTTATTGCACTAATGGCATGACAACTATTACTACCATCCAATTGACTTCTTAGTTTCTTTGACTTTATGATTACTTTTAATTGTCTGTAATTTACAATCTAGTTGCCTTCCTCTTTAAGTGAACCCCCTGCTAGTCATACATTCAGATTCAGTACAAAACAAAATTGTGAGTGTAAATTGCAATTGTTTGTGTATATATATATATATATATATATATATATATAAAATCCTTCAAATTGTATTATGTCTGTAATGCAGCTTTTTTGTTCTTGTTTATGGAAGATTTTTTGTCCCTTTTGGCATTTGATGTCTTGTTTCTCCTAGAGGCGAGTAAATACATTGTAGTTACCTTTCTTTTTCTTTTCCTTATCCTCAAATCTTCTTGTGTCTTTATATAATTTGTGAAATCTTGTTTCCATATTTGCTTCATGTAAGCAACGAAGTCGGCCACTGCAACTAAATGAGCAAGGCAAAATTCTTGAGGTAGCCATTGAAGCTGCCGCAAATGCAATTATAGATCTCAAGGACAAGCTGAATGAATGGGATGGTAAAGTTGGTGATGGTGACTGTGGATCAACTGTGAGTCCTCTCAATTTTTTCCTTTGTTATTTTTAGTTGTTGATGCATCATATAAGTTACTTGCTTCTGTTTTTCTTTCTGCAGATGTATAGAGGTGCAAAAGCAATTCTTGAGGACATCAAAAAGTAAGTTTATGCTGTGCAATCGCTTAGCCTTGCTCATGATTTTGGTCTTGTTTAGATATAACCGTTATTAGTGCTAATATGTTGTGTTCATGGGCAACCAGTTATGTGCTCCCATGTATTTGATTAATGGACTATTTGTATATGTTTTTTCTTTATTGTGTTGTAAGTGTTTATTCGCATGGGGAATGGCAAAGGTGGTTTGCTGCAAGTTGTCAATTTGGATGGTAATAGCAAGCAGTCTGACCTAAACTGCTATTATTTTTTCAGTTACCCTCTAAATGATGCTGCAGAAACTCTAAGTGAAATTGGATCATCAATTGGAAGAGCTATGGGAGGAACAAGTGGGATCATGTATTATGCCATTCCTATGCCTTCTTTAAAGTTAAAATCATTTATACCATATGATTATTGTCAATCACCATTTTATTTTTTTCCAGATATACAATTTTTTTTAAGGCGGCTTATTCACACCTGAAAGAAAGCTCCCATTCTGGTGTCACATCAAAACAATGTGAGAACATTCTACGAATCAAGCAACAATCAACTAGAATCTTGCAAAAAAATTTTCCTTTCTTTTTATCCCTTTTTGGTTGGACTGTTTGTATCCCTCACAAGTCTTTTGATTCAGGGGCTGAAGCACTTGCAGCTTCCATTGCTGCTGTGAGTAAATATGGGGGAGCTAGTGCTGGTTATAGAACATTGTTAGATGCCCTTATTCCAGCATGTTCAGTTCTTGAAGAGGTGTCAACAATATCTGTTCACCTCACTTCATTATTTTCATGACACCCTATTGCTGTTACTTACCACGATTTGACTTTACAGAAATTAAATTCTGGATGTGATCCTTGCACCGCTTTTATTCTCTCCTCTGAAGCTGCATTAGCTGGAGCTGAGTCAACCATAAACATGCAAGCACAGGTGACATTTTATTCTTCTTATTAGTTCTTTGTTAAGTGAAAGAATGTTGGTGATGTAGATGCTTCCTTTTGTAGTGACAAGCTTTTATCTTGCAGTAATATATTTTATATTATCAATAATGAAAGTGTAACCTTGTGATGCTCTAATTATGTAATTTTACTACACCATTAGTGGATAAAAAATTAATCTTATAATTAGTAGATAGTGTTTAAGGATTTTTTATTAAAATTTATTTTGTGGTAATCGTAACCAGCAAGGGTTTACAAAATCTCGTTAACATGGGAGAAGAGAACTTACACAAGAATAATAATGAAAACAAATTTAGTATTTGGAAGAAAAAAACTTCCAAAACACTTCCCTAGACTTGGGCTGTACATTGCATTTTGCTGTTTTTTTTTCCCTCTGCATTTGTGAAACTTTGGCTGTGCAGTTGTTTATAAAATTTGTAACAATTCTCATTTTTCTTCTAGTATGTGTGAAAAATAGGATGAATGATGTATCATGATTTATACAAACAACAACAAATGAAACCTTATCTCAATAGGTGACATCAGTTACATAGATCATAATTTATGAATATAAATATTCTCTGCAATACACACACAATTTAGTTAGTGACATAATTGTAGGATATGTGGTGCTTGACAACTAATTAATTGCTAAAAGATAAATACAAAATTGAAAGGATCTTTGCTTGGCCAATAATTTCTATAATGTAGTGAAGTGTGGTAACACAATGAAACGTAAACAATGTAATGTAAATGTGATCACTGTACTTGAGATACCTTCTTTCCTGTGTCCTACCGTTATTCTATTCAAGTTTAGTTGTGCTCAAGTGAACCTTGTTTTCCATGATTTTTTATGATTGGCTTACCATCTTTATAAAAAAGTGCTGAAAATGAGTTTCAATTTTGAAGTTTCATGATGAATAGCAATAACTACGCAATTTTTAAACAATTCATGCTAGGAAAAATTATTGAAGTCCGAAATGGTATGAAAAATGCAAAATTGTGCCAGAAAATCACTTCCATGTTTTTGTAGTTATTGTCATAGTAGTAGATCTGATGGGGTAACATATGCAGGCTGGACGTTCAACTTATGTGTCTGGCGAGATTCTTTCGACAGTTCCTGATCCTGGTGCCATGGCTGCAGCGACATGGTACCAAGCTGCGGCCTTAGCTGTCGAGGCTAAACACAAGAGTTAAGCCACATACATGTAGCTCTTCATGCGGATGTCCTGTTTGTGCGGATATAGCCAAGTTTTGTTCCGAAATTTGTACTCCTGTAACCATTAGGCTCTCCGCTTATGTCTTTTCTGCATAAAGCTGAGAGAGCAATTGCCAGTCACTTTTATATACGCCGAACTTTAAAGTGGATGTAAATTTGAAACCCGATTACTACAGTGGACAATAATATCCATCTCAATTTAAGCTTATGATTGTGATTTTCGTGGTTGGTTTGTTGATTTTTATCAGTTTACTTGCTGTTAAGAATGCTCGTCTAATTGCTTTCAAGTGATGTTCAAAGTGGCCGAGTAAAAGCAGCGTTATCATCTGGGTTAAAACAGTTTGGCAGGCTAGGGCAAAAAGATGAGAACTGAGTTGTGAAATAAATCAGCTTGGAGGAAGAGACGTTGATCACGACATACCAGACTACATTCATTGTGCATTTGGCAACCAAATAGTGGTCTTGCGACCATGATGTCTATGGTATCGACTGTTTACCTTTAGGGAAATAGGGATAATTAATAATTACCAATGAATTTCTTAATAAAATATATGCAAATGCACAATTTTTACAGAATCATACCATCTCATTTTGTTCCTTGTTTAGTTTTTTACCATAATTCTTGATCTCACAATATTCTTGGTAATATTGTTGAAAGGACTAGAGCAGAATCACCAAAATTGCATGAGTGCAATTGGACAAAAATAATTAGAGTGATGGATCCGTCGTTATCTTGTCAACGTGGCCATTTAAGAAGTTAGTGGGCTGTGAGTTCGTGCATGCATTTAGCTCTGCCACCGCCCCGAGATGAATAAGACATACCCTGCAAGGAACCTAATGCGGTATGATAGTGTCCTCCTATATTGGCCCCCTTAATCATGCGCGACTAACCAATTTTTCTGCCTTTCATTAAATATTATTGATTCAATATTCGGATGGAAGTTTGAAAATTAGGCCACTCTTTCAGCCTAGTGATGGTACTCGCACACTCGTAGCAAAAACAAACAGAATTAAAAGAGAAAAGTCACCACCCAATAGGCTCAGCTTAAATGGTAGAGGATTGCTTGATTTTGAAGTGGAATTAGAACATGCTAGAGAACACTCAAGCGCTTAAGCCCTCCAGGCTTCTGGCAATTATTATCAGCAAATGAGAATGAGATTATTGTGTTTCAATTAACAACACGAAAAATGCTCAAGCACTTCGTACGAAGCAGAACCAATTTATAAATTCGGTTTTGCTAATTATTGTTGTAAGAGAAATGATTAAGGAATCATACAAATAAAACAATTTCATAAAAAAAAAAAAGAAAAAAAAAGTAGTAATGATATGTTGATTATATTAAATGTCATATTTTTTTAAGAAAAATATTTTACTTTTAATTCTTGGGTGCAATAGTTAATAAAACTGTTATTTAGATTAGATCATTTTACTTATCATTTACCACACCCTTTCGCTTCTCATTGAAGTCCTGAATCTAGACAAGGTGGAAAAAGGGAAAACCACCCCTTTTCACCTCCACGAAGAAAAACTTAAAACTTACACTAATGAGTGGTAAGTGCAACATAAGCACTAGTCATTGAGGATACCCTCTTTTCAGAAAACTCCACTGGAAAGAAATCAATGTGCAGCAGTACTGCAAGTTGCCTATATATAAAGGGCTGTCTACCCTCTCAACATCTTGTGGTTAGGTTGCAATTTGCGAGTGCATGTGCTGTCTTTTCTTTTGTCCCTAATTAGAAGAGCAGAACCTCAGTACTGGCAACATGCCAGGTGGTTTCACCTAAACTGTGGTCTTGTCCTTGGGCTTCTAGGAAGATGTTTAAATTTCATATTCCATTGATGCTTTTTTGCCTTTTACATTAGCGTAAGCAAGATCATCTCAAATTCCACAAGGGGTGGGAGCCATTAACCTTAATTTGTAATTCTAACTTCCTTCCTTTCTTGTGGTGGAAGGGACATGAACATCTAGTTGAATTCTTTTTGGATTTGCGTACAAACCAAGGTAAAAATTGAATCCTTGAGGGTCATCAGTACGTGGTCCTGCAACGTCTGCAAAAGATTCTTTACGACGTATTGATCTGAAATTTAAGTCCTAACGTTCATTTAATTAATGTGAAGAGACAATGAGAGATCTAATGATTGGGTTCCGAAGGCCTTCAAATTCAGTCACTGGTTGCTTCAAGGTGCAGTTGAATAGGAAAATGTTTTGCTCTCGTTTTAACAACTAAAATATTAAGGGGGTATTATTTTGAGACATACGTAGATACAAAATAAATAAAAAGAAGAAATATAAAATTGGGTTCAATATAAACATTACATTAATTGTGTATATTTTTAATTATTTCATTTTACAGAGTCGAAGAACTGATGAGTCTAGAAAAAATAAAAATCGTCTAACCAGCAGAACTTTCGTGCACAATTATCTCCCCCCTCCCTTTTTTTTTGGTTACACCTACTTTCTTTTTAACTCAAAACTTTTTTCTTTATATTTTTGGTTCAAATAATTTATAACTTTTTGTTCAAGTAAAACATAAAATTATAGATACTAATCATTGTAGTCTTTAACGTTAGATCAGTCATGTTCAATTTTTACATTAGAATATGTCAATTTCGTCTCTGACTTTCACAGCTATTTGTCATTGTTTGAATTCCCTAACTTTAGAGTCTATATCAGTTAATTTAGCCTTAAGTTTTTTTTTTTTACTAAATTGATTAATAGTTGTCAAATTTAAAGACCCAATTGGTGATAATTGTTAAATTTAATAATAAATTTAATAATTAAATTAAATTAATTGATTTGATAATATTAAGGGATAAAGTAATTCATTTATAATATTAATTTTAAGGACCAAATTAATTGTCAGTAATCAGGGTTAAGAGGTTTTTTGTTTGTAATACCGGAAATCAATTTGATCAATAACACTAATTTTAAAAACTAGATTGATATTTTAGCTTCCACTTCTTCATTTCTTATTTTACTAGGAAATTTTAATATGTATCTTTAGAGTGCCGAAGTAATAGACAACTCTGAAGATGCAAGAATGAAAAAGGAGATAATTTCATTGTAAATTAGAAAATATCAAACGGATTCACTTAGTCGGTACTTGTCCGAATTGACAAAATGAATTGAAGTTTACGATCCAACGAAAAATATTGGAAAATGTTTCATTGATACTCCATTGAGCATGGGAAGAGAAAAGAGATAAATAATGAATGTGATGATTGATATGATGTGACAAGAAAAATAAAATAAAAATAAAAAGTGTTAAAGATAATAAGGCATTAGAATGTTTATAATTAGAAATATAAATTAAAAAAAATTTGTTTACTTTTAGCAAGTTGAAATTTCAGAACCCTCAATTTGCTCCCAGATTTACAAACCGACTCCTCTAGTTTAAAAAATAATTGAATAATTATATATATAAAAAAAGATAACATATTTTATTAAAATCAAACTCCCTCCTTAATTATAGTAATTCATACTTTAATTAAGAAAATAATATCATCACAGAATTCAATAAATACATTTTGAAGGAGTTACAACAAAGCCAACCCTTAAATATTAGCCAGTTAATTGTCATTTGAACTATCTATAAACAAGCGGCATAAATATAATTTCTTATTTAATTTATCGTTTATAAAACTAATTGTCAAATCAAGAATGATAATTAATTTTGTAGAATTAAAATTCTTAACATTACAGATAAAGTTCTTATAAGATCAAAATTTACTTTTACTATGGCCAATTATTATTAGACTCAAATTATTTCTTTAACAAAGTTCTAAAAAAATTATTTATGCTCATTCCCTTTTTTTTTCCGCTATTCTTTTTCTTTTCCCTCATAAATTATCGTCATCCAAACACACACACACAAGAACAACAACCAAAAACCCATTACTAATTACTAATAGGGGTATAGTAGAGGTGTAAAATTAAGAAAAGGAGTTAACATAAAATAATTATGGTTCAAATTTAGTACCTGTTGGTACTCCTTCAAATGTAGTTTCAAGATTAAACCGTTGAATATAATTTACATGCATGTATAAATTAGTTAAAAATATTTTATTTCAAATATTAAAATTGGTTTTTTTAACACAAAACAAATAAGCCTTAATTGAATATTTCATAACATTCGTAATCGATACCTTACATTCAACCAAGCCAAGTTGTAAATGAAAATACTAACAGAGCATAGAAGTGCAGCTTGCTTTTATCCTCGGAATTAAATCTAATTGAACTCATTTTGTGTGATATAAAAATCACTTCGCAGCCTGTAAAATACAAAGGATAATTAACCCCCCACATGAAAATAAAATTAATTTTGTGGAGCTTTTAGTGATATATCACATCACTTCATCATTATCAACAGTTCTACCGTACTTACTATGTGATTCTTCTTCTTCTTCTTTTTCGGAAGACATGAAGAGAAAAAAAAAACAAATTTATACTAACACGAGAAGATAAATTACAAAATTATTACATCGATCCAAGCCTCCATAAAAAAAGAAAGAAAAATATTTAAAAAATAAAGCAATAAGATACAATATTCTCTCTCCTCTAATGATGTGAAAGTAAGTCTAATTAAAAACTTACTGAGTGAGAGAGGATGCATTGGCAGAAGAATTATTAGAGTTCTTATGGTTATGCATCCAAACCTTGAAAACCTGTCTACTAACCCCAACACTTCTACAGAACCTCTCAATCTCATCATCAACCTCTTTTCTCTGCAGCTTCCACCCCAACTTCTCAGCAAATCCCAACATCTTCTCCTTTTGTTCCAAACTGAATTTTGTCCTAAACCTCTTCTTGTTATTACTATTACTCCTCTCTCCAACCTCTATCCTTCCCTCGCCGCCGCCAGAGTATTCCATCATGTCACCGCTGCCTGCGGCAGTCAAGACTTCCGCCGGCGGACACGTCACCTTCCGGTGAAAGTTGCGGTGACAGCCGCAGGCAGCACACTGGAGACTAGCGGCGGGGGACGAGGCGTCGAGGTCGAGGGTGAACTCGCCGCAGCCGTCGGTAGCGTAGCTGCCGAGACTGGCTGCATGGTTTCTCAAGCACTCTCTATAGACGCAGTTTGATGATGATGATGATGATGATGAGTTCTCCATGGCTTTCTTTTTCTCTTCTTCTTTTTTTGGGTGTGTCTGTGATTAGGTTTTAGTAATATTTGTTCATGTGTTGTGTGTATATATGCAAAGAGTGTAATGATGAAATGACTAAAATGGGTATGGTTGGAGAGGATATTTACAGTGTTCCCCGTTGTGTGGACATGCTAGCATTGTAGACAACTAGGCAATATCTCTCAAATATATCTACCATCTACATTAAGTGTTCAAACTTTAAATCAAGATGAAGTAAAATAATGATAATAAAAGGAAAAAAAAACATGATTTATATATGTACAGCAGAAGAAATATATATATATATATATATATATATATATGACTTAAATATATTTTTTATTGTTTATAAATATAGTTAAATATTGTTTTTAGTTCTTGTGATTTTTTTTAATATTTTATTTAATTAAATATATAGTCCTTGAATTGACCAACAGATGTTAAATTAAATTTACTATATATATATTAACCCATTGTATATGGTAAAAAAAAAAAAGGACACACGAGCCATTAATGTGGGAGAAGATTAATCTTTTTATATGACACAAAAGTTAAAAAAAAAATTCTAATTTGCATCGTTTATAAGATTTATTTAACATATGTACTGTGTTGGAAGAGGTGACAGAGTTTAGTTAAATATTTGTTAATTAAGTTAGTATTTGGCGACAAATTAATAACAAAAATTCAATTTTGAAAAAAAATATTATGGTGAAAACAGAAAATAAAATTCATATTAACTAAAAATAAACCTTGTTATATTTTCAGTGACAAATAACATATTTAAACAAATATCTATTTAATATTGATTTAGAATAAGATAAATTTATAAAGTACTTTAATTTAAATTATGATAATGAAATATTTATTTTCTAAGGTTACACATAACTTAAATAGCAATCTAGGTATTTTTAATGAATTTAATTTTAAAAGTAAAAGAATTATAAAAAATGATTGGTTAAGTTTCTTTTTCATATTTTAGAAGAATATATATATTGAAAAATTCATATTTTAAGGACATATCTAAGTAATAATTGATGGTATTTTGTCTCTAGTTTTTACTCTCATGGGATATTCATGTATAATATTGAACAATAATCAGCCGACTTAAATGTTTTCCTTTTATTTTATAATTGGTTAAGAGTAATAAATTCGTGAATGATGTCATATTTTTTTAAGTTGTGATCTATTTTTTGAGAATTTTTTATTGATTTTATTTTTCAGAAATTTTTTTAGATATTATTACTACACAATTTTTTAGACATTAGGATATTCCTCCCCCTAGGTTCATGCCTCTAAACTTCAGTTGTTCATTCAAATTACGATACCATTTTTCTCCTGTGTAATTTGTTTGTGATTAAAACAAATTATACCATATAAAAAATTTAATTAGTGTTCATATTTGATTCATGTTGATTGAATAGTATAAAAAATATGAATAATATTAGAGCATTTTTAATTGAATTCTTCATATTTTTAAATATTAAAATTACGTAAAGGTTTTTAAATACTCTTCTAAAATTTTAATTTTAAAATGTATTAAAATTTTTAAAAACCTTGAAAGTAATTTACTAATTATTTTAAAAGATTATTTAACAAAGTTCAAAGTAAAATTTCTGACAAATTATAAAAAAAAATTATTGAAAAAAAAAGTAGCTTCAAAGAGAAAAGTGTGATTATTTTAGTTCTATAGTTCCGCAATCTTCGTAACACGAGTTGTTCCTAATCGTGATTTTGAGTCCCCACTAAGGGCTTCGTTGTCCAACCCAAAAAGAAATAAACTTAGTGGCCCCCTAAACGCTATGCCCATATGGGTTTTATCCAATAATTCACTTTGGATGGAAAAGCAGAAAAATAATATCATAATAAATATTTGGAAATTTAAAAAATTTGTAACCAGTAAATTCTTAAATTGGTCTTTAAAAAAATGTACCTTATTCTGTTGTTCGATTTAACATGAGTTATTAATTTAATTTCTTCTCTTCAAAAACTGATTTCTGAAAATTTTGAAACATTATATCATGTTCAGTTTTATAGGATTCAAAATGATTATATAAAATAATAAATCTGATGAGTATTATTTTACATTAATTTAGTTAAAAGAGTATGGTAATAAGGCGTTAATTAATCTTAAGGCTAATTTAGGAGCTGAGTTTACTATTTGTAAGCAATATTCATTATTTAAACTTTTTACAGAAGAAAAATGGCTATTCTAAAAGGAGTTTAGAGACAAGTTTAATTTGATGGAGTTTTTCTCTTTTTCAAAAATAAGAATTCACAAGATAAATTTAGCTTAACTTAACCCAATTCAATCTTTTTATCGAGACATTTCCTTGAATTCAACCTCAACTCAATTATGACTTAAAACTTAACTAATGACTTGAATAGGATCTAGGTCAATTAGATGTTTAGATAAAATGTATAGATTAACATTATATGTATAGTTTAGGGCGTGTTTAGTAAATTTATTTTAAGAAACACGAATTTAAAAAACTCAAATTAGAGTGGATTGACTTAGGTTAAATATAAAATTTTTTTAATCTAACTAATTTCTTAAATTTAAGACCAAATTATGTTGTATTTACTTAATATAAACTTTTTTTTAAAGCATGCACCCTCCTTTTTAAAAGTAAACAATTATTTTAACATTATTTTTGTAGTAAAGCTTTCCAATAAACTTACAAATAATAAATATACTTATAGCGAGTTATAATATATAAATATATATATATATATAATCAAAATTTAATGCAATAATAATAACAATATTGTGGATATTTTTTAAGCAACCTAATACACCTATCAAACATTTTTAATAAATAAATTTAACCTAATTTAAACTTAATATAAACAAAATTATATGATTTTCACGAATGACGAAACTTATTTTTATCCCTTTATACAGCCATGCAAAGAGTATTTAAGGTTTTTAAGACTTTCACTCAAAAGTTTGGCAACACCTCGACTTGTCAAATACTCTTCTATTGTGGTTCAACGTTTGCATTTATTAGCTTGCAAAATGCAAATCGTGCTCTTCACTCTTCAGCCACAACTTTTTATTATATACAGATACTGCCATTTATATTTAAACTCTCTATAACATATCTTAAAACAAAAAAGAGAAAACAAAAGTGGGACATATATATAATCATTTTTTTATTAAAAATATAGAATTTAATATAATTCAATGCATTGATATTATTAAACATCATAAATTTTAATAAAAAATTATTATTCATTATATTTTTATTATGTAAAATGTTTAACATGTTAGAAAAATCAAATGTATGTATATATGTATTTATATTACTAAGTTCACAAAAGGATGTTATCCATGGTTGCTTAGCTTTTTATAGAGTTGTTTTGGGACAACCCATGCTGAAGGAGGGTGTCAAAAGATGGCTACACAGAAGTGAGAAGGCACATGGTAAAACGCATGGTTTGAGTTATGGAGTTTCATTTTTCAAATATATTGGCTGACAGATTGGAATGATATGTGCCCCATGTTCCCAAGGGATCAAAAATTGCCCATACAATAAGTCTTTGGTTGACAATGAAGCTAAGACTTAAGAATATATAGATGGTACTAGTCTACACCTCAAGCATATGTCAGAGATATCAAGTGCAATGAAGATCATCATTATATTCATCAATTGCCCTATTCCTTGCATTTCCAAGCTCAGTGTCATGATTTATAACTATTGTTCACAATTTATTGCATGAGATTATTGGATCCAGAAGAAAATAATAAATAAAAAATTATTTATTAATTAGCTATCAAAATAAAAATTACAAGCTATAACCACGATTGAAGTCACATGAAGCAATCAATTTTGAGAAGGAAAAAAAACATAACAAATACATATTGCCTCATTGTATCATTTTTGAAACTTTGATACTATTCCATACACTAAACTACAAACGAATACCCAATCCTTTTGTTTGATTTAGATAACAACAAAGCAAAATGAAATATGATGCATATCAATCATGCATCAGCATACAGGCTGAACAATCAAAATAAGGACTGATTTATTTTAAACTGAGAACCAATTGTTATATTTTATAATAAAAAATCCATTTTATTAAAAATGTGTAATTCAGATATATTTAAACATATATCTTAATTATACTAAGTAACTTAAAATCAATTTAATATAACTTTAAAGGAATTAAACACACATGTAATTGCAAACAGTGATGATAGAAGTGAGGTACATAGGAATGGTGTGATGTAGTGAATGATAGGTGGGTCGGAAATTGAGAGTGCAAAGGATGAATTCACTTGATGTGTCGGAAAATAATAATGTTTCAGTGTCTTTTGGGAAGCAAATTGCTTTGTTTCCTTTTGTGCATTCAGTGTCCAGTCACTGTACTGTGTGACCCTTCCAACAGTGCCACAACACCCGCAAAGTTAGCTTCATACCTCTTTTGGTGCACAAACGCCTTACTCTGCTTGGCTCTTTTTGGTTAAGGCTGCAAACAAAATGTGGGTGGTCTATTTTCTAATTATTATCACTTTATCACTCCTTATAATACTAAGCATGAAAAATAATATTACAAATCAAAACATATAATATAAGCTAACTCATATTGAAAAAGGAAAAGTTAAAGCATGGTTTATATTTGTGGCTTACAAAGAAAGGAAAAGGCTGCACAAATTTGTTAGGATGGTTGTAGTACAAATGATTAACCACTTTCTTCATTCAACTATGGTATTTTTATTTTTTTTCACTTTTTATGTATCTATTTTTATTATTTATTATATTATTTGTATATTTTTTTTATCTCTTTCTTTCTTCCATTCATTTGAAATGCGATTTAGATTCTCTACAGTAGATCTTAATCTCTAAGGCTCTCCATCCAAAAAATTGACTAAATTAAAAAGTAGATTGAACAATCTCATATTGTCATTGGCCAATTACATTGAAAATTTTACTGAATTTAGATATTGTTACTAACCAAACTCACATTTATAATTAACCATTTTTATGAT